TAGGATACCTTTACTATTGGGCAGTTTAGTAAGGACTTCAGAACTAGTGCCAATTTCTAACGCTGGTATATAATAACCTTCAGATTGGTGTGCTTACCTCAGTTATCAATACATATCATGATACAAGTCATGATGCCATATATATATACACACTGACAAAAGAAATTTGAATACCATACATTTTGGATAATATGTGAAGAATTACTCATATACAAGATATTAGATTGGTTCGATGCACAAACGAACACACTGTTATGCTATGTGAACGACGCTCATGAATGCATCACATGTGACGTCATAGATCCATGATTCGAGATGTACCATTTGTCACAAGCACCATATTGTTATAAGAATAAAGACACTCATGTTAAACTTGACTGATTGTTAGGTTTGTCATTACACATTAGAAAAATCTTTAAACATGTTTCTATGGTTCGCGTTTCTTTTGGCGTTGAGCATATATCGCCACTTCATTTGCGATAGTTTTGCACGCAATACATCATATACCATGTGACCCGGCCTGACTAACATGAGGATTTAACCAGTTTGTGTTTTACTTGCATGACTCGTAGCTTGTCCTGATTGTTTCATGATATTCGATTTAGCATTCTTTTATAATCCTGACATACAGGCATTTATTTTTATTTTTAAATTACCGTATTCGACGTAATAAGCGCCCAGGGCGCTCTCAAAATTAGAAATACGGGGCTCTTATCAGAATATTATTTTGGTGAAAAAAACAGAGTTGTAAAGATTAATTAAGTGTTTTATGCTGACAGCCTGAAATGTTTATATACGAGAGATACAATTTTCCAGAATTTAATTGCCCATAATTAAGGGTGCATATAACCACGAGTGCGTATTATACGCGAGTAAATAAGTGTTGTGTACATTGATCAGTCGGAAGGGGTGCTAATCGGTATTGTTCACTAGCCAATATATTAGCAAATATCGCCTTGGGCGCTTATTACGTCGAATACGGTATGTGTTTATTGAAATGGCATGTATCACAACAGTGACCCTTGTTGTAACGAAATCCGCAGAATTCTGGGATTCGCAAAAAATGCTCCTCCCTGTGAATAGTAGTCAGGCAAGGTTAGTGCAAAACATAGCATACTATTTGAAAATTATAACAATCAATACATGGTGTTGTGAATCATGTATTGTATTGCCAGGAGAAAATTTGAGATGCATCGATGCTTCGGTGAATCATGACACCTCTACCTGCAGCGGTAGAAACTAACAGTTTCAGTCCACTAGTCCTTATAATGATAACATATAGCAAAACCCTTAAAAATGGCAAATTTCTACTAGTCCTTGGGATACCTTTACTATTGGGCAGTTTGGCAAGGACTACAGGACTAGTGCCAATTTCTAACTCTGACCTGTATATCCCAAGATACGCTAGCAGTGGTCGATTTTATGCATGAAAGTCGTGAGGACCTTGTCATAACTCTAATGCTGAAAAGCTTTAGGGGCTCCCTAGACTCATATACTACTGCAGCAAACCTCAAAGACATCCCTTAATTCTGAACACCGTACAACGGTTGTCTGCATAGATCTATCTAAACTAAGACTTCATTGTGAATATGCTCTACAGAAATTATGAATATTAGCTCGTGGGTGACTATGAATAATCAAGATATGATAATGATCTATGAAAAAACATCTTCATAATTCTAAATTGAGTTGGGTTTCCCCGATAGGTATGTAATACATATCATGATAAGGAAACTCAAGGGATTGGTTGGTGTTTCAATAAGTCTTTATAGTGTTGGTAATTGGTACTAGTCCTATAGTCCAACTGCCCAATTGTTAAGGTTGCCATTTTCAAGGGTTTTGCTATAGGTATCATTATAAGGACTAGTGGACTAAAACTGTTAGTTTCTATCGCTGGTCTTTATAATGTAACAATTCCATGGCAGTCAAAACAAACTAGCCGAGTACAGGAACTGATAGTCATTTCACCTGGCAAGTAGATAAGACACAAGTCAGGTTGAAAATACGCAAGAATAATCACCTTAAGATATTTCAGATTACGTAAGAGGATGTTCACTCTGACAAGTACAGTAAGAATGTTGTAGACAAAACTGGATATTCAACTGATTACACACAGCCTGTTTCTAACAAGTGCCACGACAACATTTTGAATTTTTCAACATTACAAACTAAATTTAGGATTTTATAAATATCCTCTGAAAATATGTAAATATATGTCCATTGGTTTCAGATCAAGGTGTTTAACACAAAATTAGCTGTTGATGCAGACCCTTTGAATTTGAATTTTTAAAATGAAACAGTTTAACATCACAAATACGATAACTGACTTAAGCATGTTAAGTATATTTATTCTTTCAAAATACTACAGGGAAGCAAAACTGTTATTGTTTCTGGTCATGTTTTGTTTGGTTTTTAACATGGCAGTCAGCCACATTTAATTTCATCTGGGCCTGTAAATGTCTTGGCCAGACAAACCAGTGATTAATATATGAGCAATGTCCCATGCCACGGAGGTACAATGACATGTAATCGGTCAAGTCACAGAGCCTCACTATCAGATTCAATTTACACTTTAACAAGGTATAGAACATTTGGGACATATTCTAACCTTGGTCCCAATCCGGTCAGTGAGCAAACGTGCATTGATGGTTGGCAGTTGAGGCACAATAACTACAAAATCTATTTTGGATTGGTCTAAAATATTTTTACATTGGTCACATAGGCTACAAGATATTTTCTGATTGGTCTCACGCTTAATTAAAACAACTGGGGACATATGGACACTTTTTAACATTTTAAGTCATGAATTTTGAAAGTGAAATATCTGGTCGGTCAAAAAGCAAAGAAATCATTGTACAGGATTTTTTAATTTCATCTGAAAGTTTGATTTGGATCGGGAGGTGACAAAAAATACTAATCTTGGCCTGGTTTATGTCCTTATAAATATTATGAATAAAAAATCTGAAATGTAATGATGATCATCAGGGCTCGATTTAGCTACATATCACATGCACCAGTGCAATCTGTTATTAATAAGTGCAATCTAATATTAATATCTACATGTACCAAGTGTATATCAAAATATTTCAATTTGTGTCTTCCACACAACATCGATCTTTGATAACACTCAATACCTCTATGCTTTACCATGATATTACCATACTATACCAGTACATACTAATATTTGATAACAAATATTGGCTTAATTGTGGCTGACGGTCAAGGAAGTAAACAAAAAATCTCCGAGCTTAATGGCATTGAGCACTCTGATTGGTCTGCACTCCAACCGTAACAAACGCACATGGGGATATTTACCAATCAGAGCGCTCAACGCCATTGAGTGCAGAGATTCTTGTTTACTTCAATGACTGACAGCCATGATTGAGTCAATATTTCAATAAAATCACCCGACATAGGTAATAATTGCCAAAAATTAAGATTTGTGGCATGCAGGGCATATGTGGAGGGATGTAGGGAGGTATTGTGAACATGACATACATATATATATGTATGGGTCCCTTGTTACAGTTATATCACTATCCTTCTTCAGGGGCGTGTGTGTTGCACATGGGGTCTCAATTACAATATCATCCATTTGAAGAGCACATAAAATCCTTAATCAAACAAAACACTTTCTAACTACAGTTTAATCGGTTTGCTTATGACACTCAAGGCAACAATAAATTTATAATTTTTTCAGTAATCATCACAAAATATAATCTGATCAGAAACAGGTTACTATTAACATGATTTATACTACTTTCATAATCTTTGCTTCAGCAAATCTACAATGCAATTCTTGTTTTTCATTACTTGCCCGTGAGGAGATCACCTGTTTAATAAACATACAGAAGTATTACACATTGTGTAATACCAAAACGCGTGCTTATGTACTCCCGGAACACGTTTCACGAACAAATATTGAAAGCTCTCAACATCCCTTGGCTTATTCAACAACATTGCGCGTGGAGATGATAAATCACTAAGAGGAGCTTAATGCACACCTGATGACCCCAGCAACCTTGTTGCTAGGCTGACGACACATGGCATTGTTTCCCCGATGGATCTTGCAACTGAATTCTAAAGGTGGACTGTTGTATGGTATTAAATTCTTATGTTTCAACTTTTGACGTGTTTGAAGTATTATTCTGTTAAACTCAATTAGATTATGCTGTGGATCGTGTAGGTGTCGGCCTATTCACACTCAACAGTATAATTCTAAAAATGTTATAAATGACAAGCAATAAATAAAATACTAAACTCGCCCCCGTGTAAAACCAATTTTATGAAACTCGTGAATAGTTGTGGTATCTGACTTGCTTACGCTTGTCAGATACTGGAACTATTCAATCGTTTCATAAAATTGGTATAAACGGGAGCTCGTTTAGTATTCTATATATCCAAGCCTGGGCTAATCCAGTAACTGTGAGTGATGGATTCTGGCTGATTGCAAGATGGGTATCCCTTGTCATAGCTCTTTTTTTGTGACTGAGTCTGAGACATGAGAGGGCTACTTTAATTTTCCTTTCATCTGAGTATAGCATGGCTTTTTGAGGATCTTGGGTTGAATTTTGTATAGCCATCTGTCAACTTTATGTGCATCCCATTGAGCTTGCCATTTTGGGGCTATGGAGGCTTGATGTCAACAAGGACCATCCACGTAAATCTATAAATGGCCTCTGATGTAATTGATGTTTGGCCTAATTCCACGGTCACCACAAATTCACATTCCAATCTGAGTGCAGACGGCGTTTGTTATCAGCATGATCAGTGTCAACTTATGGGTTTCAATATCTACATATAGACAAAGGTAACGGCATGGTATGGATCTGACATACAAACTACACATTGATATATCTCTTTCGTAATTAAAATATAGCAGACAGTACATGACACGCGTTTGTTTACCTCAAATCTCCCGCCATTGCAGACACACAGAGACGCTGCTGTAAGCGACCCTACGATCCCATGTCGCATAGAACGTTAATAATCTATGGGGAGGAAACTCTGTCGGGCACCTGCCAAGTCAGAGACTGACACTTCGAGAAACCCATCATGAACAAACCTAACTCTCTTTTGATTGGAATATTCCTGTCAATATCAAGCAGTATATTGTTTGGACACATAATTAAAGGCAAGTATTTATGAGATACCATTTCGTTTTGGAGTTTGGGATGTCAGCGCGACAGTGGAATCGAAAATCACACAGTAGTCTAGGGTAGTAGATCATAACAAAATCAGTAACTCGCCATGTCATGAAGAAGGAGTTTGCCCGAATGAACGATTTGGGCAAAGTTAAGTATCTAAAGTTTCAACAACATTTTCGGAATTTTCGAAACACTTTTAGAAGGAAAGTAGTGAAGTAGTGGGAACCTTTCAACAATTTGCCCCTTCAATGATATAGCTTGTACTTTTGGAACTTGGTTTTTTAAAGGAAAATAAGGTTAACCAATTTTAAGCGAGACTTCTGTCACAAAATCCGTCACGTGATTTCATTAGCCCTGAAACTGACATGGTAGATATGATTTGTCAAGAATAGCGAATAATTTAATCTACATTGAGAGAGATGTCATTTAAAGATTGGGGTGGGGGTCAGATGGAATCACTGGGTTGGAACAGCACCGTTTTTTGCGAAAACAGCTACTTATATTTATAATTAAGATATAAACGATTTATCTGGTAGTATTGATGTTTTTTTCTTGGTACCATTGATTCTACTTTTGTTACTTTATTTCCACACAGCACTAATATTGTCATCTATTGATTATATTGTTGCCGTCTGGCAGGAAATCCTTGGCAATCTGAAAATATTTGTGTTAAAGCATTTACTAACTTATTTTACTGTATAAAGAGCATTCAGATGTATTTAATTATTATTTTATATTTTTATTGTAAATTATACATTTACAATATAAAATAATCACATAGTTACCTGTTTCCAGTTACAAACTTCTAAACCTGATGCTGAAATGTTGAAGTCGGAAATGGCTGGTACCCTTCTTTCATCCATCTTGTTTTCTGCAGTAGTATCTTCTTATTGAATCAAGTAACATATAAAAAAAAAACAGAAGGGGAAATCTTTTTCATTCCTGCAAATTTATTTATATCTACTATAGCATGTATAGTCCAGTACCACAGACACGTTATGTCTACTGGTCCCATTCATCACAAAATACATCATGATGATTTTTCCTAACTGTTTTTTTTGCATACAACACATCAATAAATCATTGTGAAGAATTACCTGACAGCACTCTGTCATGCATCTTAAATACAATAAAATGTGTAAAAATACTACAGACTTCAGAGTATGCGATGTTTTCACAAAAAGTTGGCGAGTATAGTCATGAAAATAGTAGCCGTTATCACATTGGGCTAGGTTCCATGTTTTGCCAATTGGTGATGTTTTTGCGAGGTTATGATTTGCTGAAGTGCTGACAAGCAATGCATAATTCGAGAGTAATTTCTTTCACTACATTAGTGTATCAAAAGCCTCTGACCCTCCTCTGTAATAAATGACAGGACTCAAACACCACTGACCCTGAGGATAGAGAGTCATGCACACATATGTATTACTAATTCTTTTCTTGAGATATATCTAGTTTTTATGATACTGGTATGAATAGATGAGAACATATTATAGCCTCTGTAATAAATGACAGGAATCAAACACAACTGACCCTGAGGATAGAGAGTCATGCACAAATATGTATTACTAATTTTCTTTCTTGAGATATATCTAGTTTTTAGGATACTGGTATCAATAGATGCGAACATAGTATAGCCCCAATGATATATATATATATATATGAAAGTTAATGTTATTCTAGCAATGATAATCAATATATATATGTACACACATGTGATACAGTAATTCCCTTCTTCATGTTCTAAGTAATATAAGTTGTGTCATTTGAGCATGCTAAGAGGTTGATTGATTTTCACATTGGTGTTGAGATCGAATTAAATCATCACCATGCAATTGTTATAGATTTATGAGTCTCTTCTTAAGGATCCACTAGGAGCTAGTTTCCTTTGAAACAGCCAAGCAACAGTAGATGGCAACAGATGCAGCAGGTGTTTCACATCAGCATCTCTATATTTGCATATATTGGTTTCCCTTTAAACAAGTTATTGGTCACACAGTTACAGTATGAAATTTATGTTAAATTGAAGGAATAATTCAGATTCTGTGTTACTTATGTTACAATATTACTTTTACATAGAGAGCAGGTGTTGATTGTGTGCAGCTGACGGCAAAGTGTAAAACTGTAAAATATAGATAGGTTATACACATGTTAAACACTGTTAAACAAGGGGCTGATTGTTTTGAGCCAGTGAGTGAGTGACATATAGAGCATCTCTCCCGAGTGTCTTTTGATATGAAATATATCAACAAGTGTTGATATATTTCATATCAAAAGACACGAGGGTGAGATTTTATTTATCATCCAACATCATTCTTCCAACTTTTTCAATTTGTAGACAGTAATTAGCAGTGTCTTCAGTGTAAAAAGTACTGCTAACAGCTTCAGTAGCAGAGCCATTAGTGATGTCATTTGATTATGATGTCATGGTAACCAGTGATGTCACAATGGTCTGCAAAGCATTGTGATGTAATTTCATTGCAGCGATATCTACAGTGTAGATATCGCTTGATCTCATCCAAGCGATATCTCCTGTGGGAGCCAGTTTTGGATGATAAATTTTAAGGATGCTAACATTTTTCTCAAATATATATATATAATATTGGTTATTTTGTTTGACTTCAGCATCTCCAGTCAACCCATCAGTGGTCAAGAGAGATGACAGTATAGGATTTGAGAATGATGACTTCAAAGGTCAACTACCTGTTGAAAATAGAGAAGAACAGGCAAGATTACCAAACACTGATTTAGGACAGGATGACAGAGTAGGAATAGAACTGGATGAGCTGGAGGAGGGGAAGAGGAAAGAACCAGTAGAAGGGTATGTTGGTGATGAACCTCTCAGAGGAGATTTGATGGAAGGCAAAGAGGCAGTGAGTTCTCACTCAGCCTCGGTGGATGACCTGTTGCCATCTAGTATACAGGAAGGTGTAGGGAACAATGCTGAGGCCAATACTTCCTACAGCAGACTCACAGATGCCAATCATCAAGATGGCAGCAAGATAGAGCTTGGACATGGTCAGCAGGTGCTCATTGAAGCTGAATCTAGACATGTCCCAGACAACCAAGAACAGCACACAGTTAGTGTTCCTGGACAGGATATACAGGACTCACACAAAGCTCCCCTAGTTCTGCATGATTCCACTCAACAGCCTCTAGTTCTACAAGATCAACAGGGTACAAAACAAAACCATGACCAGGCCTCAAATCAAATCAACCAGGGTTTGAACCAACAACTGGAGCAGCAGGGCCCAAATCAACAACTTCCACTTCAGCAAGGTTCAGACCAACAACTCCCACTTCAGCGTGGTTCATACCAACAAGTCCCACTTCAGCATGGTTCAGACCAATCAGCCCAAACACAGTATGCCTCAAACCAAAAACTTCCACTTCAGCAAGGTTCAGACCAACAACTCCCAATTCAGCATGGTTCATACCAACAACTCCCACTTCAGCATGGTTCAGACCAACAACTCCCACTTCAGCAAGGTTCAAATCAACAAGTCCCACTTCAGCATGGTTCAGACCAATCAGCCCAAACACAGTATGCCTCAAACCAAAAACTTCCACTTAAGCAAGGTTCAGACCAACAACTCCCACTTCAGCAAGGGTCAGACCAACAACTCCCACTTCAGCATGGTTCAGACCAACAACTCCCACTTCAGCAAGGTTCAGACCAATCAGCCCAAACACAGTATGCCTCAAACCAAAAACTTCCACTTCAGCATGGTTCAGACCAACAACTCACACTTCAGCAAGGGTCAGACCAACAACTCCCACTTCAGCATGGTTCAGACCCACAACTCCCACTTCAGCAAGGTTCAGACCAATCAGCCCAAACACAGTATGCCTCAAACAAAAAACTTCCACTTCAGCATGGTTCAGACCAACAACTCCCACTTCAGCATGGTTCAGACCAACAACTCCAAGTTCAGCATGGTTCAGATCAACAACAACCATTTCAGCATGGTTCAGACCCACAACTCCCGCTTCAGCGCGGTTCAGACCAGAGGGACACCAATCTCAATCAGAATCAAGGTTTAAGCAAATCTCAAAATGTAGTTACAAATTCTTACCTGAACCAAAACCAGAAGTCTTACCTGCAGCAAGTTCTTCAAAACAAAGTTCAGTCCGAGTCTCTACAGACAGATGGAACCAAGCAATCAGGAAATGATGTTCCAGAGGAGTTCAAGGTTGAGGACAATCAGCCATTGGATGGTTCCAGTGAACCAGCTGCTCAACCCAAAGACCATTACTCGGATGACGGCTACTTGGACCCTCCTGCAAACAACCTGGATACAGACAGGAGCCTGTCAGACAAAGGCGATGAAGACATGGGCCATAATGCTAATCTTTACGATGAAGATGGTGAAGCAGACACTCGTCTGAACAACAAAAATATCATTGATGATAATAACGAACAAGCTGTCTACAATGGTGAAAATGATGGGAGTGACAGAGAGGCAGAGCAGACGGACGATAATGATGAGAAGGACCAAGGAGTTGATGATGACTATGATGACTATTCTTATGAAGACAAGGATGAAAAGGAAAGATTTGGTAAGGAAAATGTTTTACAACTATTTTAATGAATGAATCTCTGGCATGTAACGTGAGACATTGTTATCTGTGGTTTCACAATACAAACTTTTATGTTTTCCAATTTATGTTACAATCATATATTTGTGTATGTAAACTTTGCAAACACAGTTTACAAACTAGTTTGACACTGCCAACTGTAAATCATTAGTGTGCCAGGTGTTTGACCATCCTCGCTATGAAAAAAATGGCGTACACACCACAGATGAGAGCACATGCAAGTGTCGTGATATGTATCATATCGTGAGCAGGGTATAGTGACATATATCAGATTGCACAGTAAGTGTATCGTCCAATCACTTGTCACAAGCAGTGATCATGTGATGAGAAGACATGCTGTTTAACATTGCTTATCTTGTCACTAGTGATGATAAAAAGACTAGTTGTTTAACACTGCTTATCTTGTCACTAGTGATGGTTACAAGACATGTTGTTTAACACTGCGTATCTTGTCACTAGTGATGATTACAACAATGTTGTTTAACACTGCATATCTTGTCACTAGTGGTGATTACAAGACTTGTTGTTTAACACTGCTTATCTTGTCACTAGTGATGATTACAACAATGTTGTTTAACTCTGCGTATCTTGTCACTAGTGATGATTACAAGAATGTAGTTTAACACTGCTTATCTTGCCACTAGGGATGATTGCAAGACATGTTGTTTAACACTGCTTCTCTTGTCACTAATGATGATTACAACAATGTTGTTTAACACTGCGTATCTTGTCACTTGTGGTGATAACAAGATTGTTGTTTAACACTGCTTATCTTGTCACTAGTGGTGATTACAAGACTTGTTGTTTAATGCTGCTTATCTTGTCACTAGTGGTGATTACAACAATGTTGTTTAACACTGCTTATCTTGTCAATAGTGGTGATTACAAGACTTGTTGTTTAACACTGCTTATCTTGTCACTAGTTGTGATTACAACAATGTTGTTTAACACTTCTTATCTTGTTACTAGTGATGATTACAAGACTTGTTGTTTAACACTGCTTATCTTGTCACTAGTGATCATTACAAGAATGTTGTTTAACACTGCTTATCTTGTCACTGGTTGTGATTACAACAATGTTGTTTAACACTTCTTATCTTGTTACTAGTGATGATTACAAGACTTGTTGTTTAACACTGCTTATCTTGTCACCAGAAGGTCATGAGGAGACTAAACGAACTACAACATCCTCGACACCCACAAAAGATGACTGGTACGGTGACAGCAATGAAGAAGGTATGTATTAAGCTCTCAAACCCTTTCGACAGTGTGACATGGTGTGATCCTAGCAGTGTTCACTTTGGTCTTAACCTGTCATAATGTATGAAAATGTCAGGATATTTTTGATAATAATGTATATTTTTCTATCAGGAATAAATGTGCCATATATTGTTTCAGTCTTTCCATTTTTAATGAAGCCTCAGGTGTTTGAAATCACTAACCCTCCTTACAGCGCCTTATGCTATATTTAATCCAGCAGGCAGGGCTAAGAAGTGAGAAAACAATTCAGCAGGCTAAATGTTAAATAGCTGATACTGTTCTGCAGTTATATAGTCATTCAACATGTCTCCAAATTACATCATGCTCATACAGCATATCCAGGTTGAAGAAAGAAGGAAATCTTTATCATGTTTATGTATTGGGAACCATCACAGCCCATACCCACAATATGATTTCACGTCTACATATGAAACTGGGTATCCCTGTAGCGGTGTAAGGCCCCGTGACTGACTGCCATGGTAGTCCACATCTGGTTAATAGTTCAAAGCTCTGTTGTATCTTATTCCGGTTTAGAATTGCACACCAGTAACTGAGTAAGAGTAAACCAAATGGATAGGGTGGTGAGACTGTTTTCATTGCCAGTGGATTGTTGCTCACTATATCCATCACTGGATTGTCTTGCCCAGATTTGATTTTTTACAGGCCGCCGTCATGTAGCTGGACTATTGCTGAGTATGACATTAAACAACAGTCAAACAACCTGATAAATTGTATTTACTCACTCAGACACTCACCATGTGATCATGATAATATTCCATGTCTTTGTCATGGTATTTCCTTTGTACATGATATTCAACAATGTTCAAGGCCATGGGCAAACCATGGTAACTCTGTACATACTTTGACATCAATCAGCATAGCATCAGCATGAGTAGTGTTGTCAGTTTGCAGGGGTATTATATTCTTCCATTGTAAGGGATCGTTAGGATGTCTGCTTTTTGGGAACCAAACAGTAATAATATCAGAAACTTAATTTTTATAATTAAAATGAAATAGTTTGAAAATTAATTGACAAATAATTTAAACTGAATTTGTGGGGTCATTCCAATGAGGAATTCATCTCGGATGGTGTCCATGGGTGGTGTCTTTGGATGATGTCCTTGTATGGTGTCCATGTATGGTGTCAATTGATGGTGTCCATGGGTGGTGTCTATGGATGGTGTCCTTGTATGGTGTCAATTGATGTTGTCCATGGATGGTGTCCTTGTATGGTGTCTTTGGATGATGTCCTTGTATGGTGTCCATGTATGGTGTCAATTGATGGTGTCCATGGGTGGTGTCTATGGATGGTGTCCTTGTATGGTGTCAATTGATGTTGTCCATGGATGGTGTCCTTGTATGGTGTCAATTGATGGTGTCCTTGTATGGTGTCAATTGATGTCATCCTTGTATGGTGTCCATGTATGGTGTCCTTGTATGGTGTCCTTGTATGGTGTCAATTGATGGTGACCTTGTATGGTGTCAATTGATGGTGTCCATGGGTGGTGTCTATGGATGGTGTCCTTGTATGGTGTCAATTGATGTTGTCCATGGATGGTGTCCTTGTATGGTGTCAATTGATGGTGTCCTTGTATGGTGTCAATTGATGTCATCCTTGTATGGTGTCCATGTATGGTGTCCTTGTATGGTGTCAATTGATGTCATCCTTGTATGGTGTCCATGGGGGGTGTCAATTAATGATGTCCTTGTATGGTGTCAATTGATGTTGTCCATGGATGGTGTCCTTGTATGGTGTCAATTGATGGTGTCCTTGTATGGTGTCAATTGATGGTGTCCTTGTATGGTGTCAATTGATGTCATCCTTGTATGGTGTCCATGGGGGGTGTCAATTGGTGGTGTCCTTGTATGGTGTCAATTAATGATGTCCTTGTATGGTGTCAATTGATGATGTCCTTGTATGGTGTCAATTGATGGTGTCCTTGTATGGTGTCAATTGATGTCATCCTTGTATGGTGTCCATGGGGGGTGTCAATTAATGATGTCCTTGTATGGTGTCAATTGATGTTGTCCATGGATGGTGTCCTTGTATGGTGTCAATTGATGGTGTCCTTGTATGGTGTCAATTGATGGTGTCCTTGTATGGTGTCAATTGATGTCATCCTTGTATGGTGTCCATGGGGGGTGTCAATTGGTGGTGTCCTTGTATGGTGTCAATTAATGATGTCCTTGTATGGTGTCAATTGATGATGTCCTTGTATGGTGTCAATTGATGGTGTCCTTGTATGGTGTCAATTGATGGTGTCCTTGTATGGTGTCAATTGATGGTGTCCTTGTATGGTGTCAATTGATGGTGTCCTTGTATGGTGTCAATTGATGGTGTCCTTGTATGGTGTCAATTGATGGTGTCCTTGTATGGTGTCAATTGATGGTGTCCTTGTATGGTGTCAATTGATGGTGTCCTTGTATGGTGTCAATTGGTGGTGTCCTTGTATGGTGTCAATTGATGGTGTCCTTGTATGGTGTCAATTGATGGTGTCCTTGTATGGTGTCAATTGATGGTGACCTTGTATGGTGTCAATTGATGGTGTCCATGGGTGGTGTCTATGGATGGTGTCCTTGTATGGTGTCAATTGATGTTGTCCATGGATGGTGTCCTTGTATGGTGTCAATTGATGGTGTCCTTGTATGGTGTCCATGCATTTGCATCATTTGGCCATCTTGGTAGTCTGTCGCAATCACAGTCCCTGAACGTTATAATTTTCCCTTCCACCAAGCCCTTACTGTGATGCTATATATGATTTTCCACAGATTCAGGAACCTCCCATTTCACTGGGGCTCCTTTTCAGTTTACATGGAATTGTTTGGTTTCAATCAAAATTGTATATCTTCAGAGACTAAGCATTAGTCTACATCTTTGCTTGCAACCTCATTACCAATCTCCCCATCTCACATAATGTTATTGTCCCAAATAACTTGCTGATGAAGATAACCTCTATCTAGGTACCCTTCTTTCTTTACACCATATACATGATACATATAATACTACTAAAAAAAAGTTAAATAACTATAGTTAATCTGTCATGGTCATGATACAAAAACTAAAGTTATATGATAAAATTGGGTGTTCTTTACTTGTTTTGAGTAGTATACATAGTTCTACCAAAATTCATACTTTGTAGAATTCACATATAAATATGTGTGTGTGGTGCGTGGGTGGATGGGTGGATGGGTGCGTGCGTGCATGCGTTACAATAGCTCCTCCACTCATGACTTAACAGTTTTGAAAAAATTACAGGAAAGTCTAATGCATTTATTATGGCCTAATGCAAAGCTTTACAAATTGTGAAAGTAAATTTCTTCTTCTTCAAAGTTTATTGAAGATTGGTGAAACATGCATTACTTTTTGTCATATCTATTCACCTTTTTTATCCAGGCTATTAATATTGGAATATAACATCTGATTTTGACAGAGCTGCAGATAAGCAGCGTATTTGCGTAAAATACCCCCCCACCCCCCCTCCCTAAAATATTCAAAACCCAATTAGCATGATTAGTTTCCTTGCGTACAGAAACAAATGCATTAAATGACAAACTCAAATGTATAAAAACAGCATGCCTAAATACGCAATGAAGCTTTTTTAGCATGCGTACAAAGGTGCTAATTACGAGCTAATTTACCATGTTTACTTTCCGAGTCAAGCCTATATATTTAGAATAGTTATATACATCTAAAACATCATTAAATTTATTTCAAATCTTAAAATGTCCACTAATTTGGGGGGAAAAACAATAGAGTGATGTATAGAGGAGTGAAAAAATATTGGTTACCCAATGAAAATTGTAATAACTCAATTAAACTAGAAACCCTAGAGTAAAAACTCAATTGCTAAAAAATCATCTGGAGCTCTGTTTGATTAGACTTATGTAATTATTAGACATTAAGTTCGGGATATGAAACAGTCAGGGCAGCAATATATAACTACTGATGGGCGGAGAGATAGTCTTGTGGTTAACATGGTTAAAGCGTGGGTGCAATGTGTGATGACCATTCTTCGTGTCCCCAAGCCGTGATTTGTCTGGAATATTGCTTAGAAATTCTAGAAACTCCACTCATTCACTGTCAGAATTTACTATCAGCCACCTATATGGGTATAAGTAAGGTTGCCATTGATTGGAAAGTTTACTATCATTATATCAACTCAGAAGTATCATGAGATATCAAAATTAGTTATTCTGTATGTGTGAAGATAAAAAATTCCTATCTACACCTGCAATTAATCAACTTAATGCTGAATATGAATTAGGCTGATCCATTGAATGATTAAATTGAATTTTCCACCTAAATATAAACCAGGTTAATCCACAGTATCAACATTAAAACCATATCAATACATTGATATTGCAATATACAATAATATCCCTTGCTGTAAGGATTGACTTGTGTAGCATGTTAAGGGACACTCTCAGTATTTCACAATGGCACAAGTCAATGACTCAAGAAACAAATGACCCACTATTGTGAGCGATATGGGTGTCCCTATGTTTCTGACACCTAGACTATCATTCTCCCAGTCAATGGGCCGTTTGACCTGAAAGTAATCCCACTAATGTGAAGCAGTCTCTCCAGGTCTATACAGCTACACACAGTCACCAGAGGTCCTCTGTTTTGGAAGAGCAGGGGAGTGAGACTCAAACTTGCTTGTCCACCAGGACTAGTTTGAATAGTGACAACAAAATTAAGAAACAGGTACAATCCCTAAAGCCTGACATTCTTCCATGTCTACTAGGACTAGTTTGAATAGTGACAACAAAATTAAGAAACAGGTACAATCCCTAAAGCCTGACATTCTTCCATGTCTACTAGGACTAGTTTGAATAGTGACAACAAAATTAAGAAACAGGTACAATCCCTAATGCCTGACATTCTACCATGTCTACCAGGACTAGTTTGAATAGTGACAACAAAATTAAGAAACGGGTACAATCCCTAAAGCCTGACATTCTTCCGTGTCTACCAGGACTAGTTTGAATAGTGACAACAAAATTAAGAAACGGGTACAATCCCTAAAGCCTGACATTCTTCCATCTCTATCAGGACTAGGTTGAATAGTGACAACAAAATTAAGAAACGGGTACAATCCCTAATGCCTGACATTCTCCCATGTCTACCAGGACTAGTTTGAATAGTGAAAACAAAATTAAGAAACAGGTACAATCCCTAATGCCTGACATTCTTCCATCTCTATCAGGACTAGGTTGAATAGTGACAACAAAATTAAGAAACGGGTACAATCCCTAAAGCCTGACATTCTTCCATGTCTACGGCTCTAACAGATACACACAATACTGTAATGCCAATCGGTCATGATCAAGACTTGGATATGTAATATTACTTGAATATTTTTGGAAAACAAATTGTCCATTCATTATTTAATAGTCACAGGACTATTTCTTCCTCATCATTATAAAGATTTCTTAAGTCTTGCTCAGGCAGCAAGTTGTAATTCCTAATCCTTCAATATGGCCGATCAAACCCAAGTGTGTGTAATCGTCCAGTCTTGTCTATGTGTGATATGTCATATATACACCACTTTCTTTTTCACTGCTTATGTTATGCTGTGTGTACAACACACGACGATGTTGTTCACTGACACAACAGGGTCGGGACATACATGTCCTAGATACTTTCAGGGGAAATAAGGTTATGCTTTGTTAAATCTATGTGACACAAGGGCGTGTCCTGGCTGGGCATGGATTGTACTTAATGTCTTCAGTAGGTGTACCCAGTAGGACATTGAGACTTTTGTATTATCATTTCATCATGGTCATGTTCTAGTGAACATCATTGTATATCTCATTGCTGTTATTCTATATTACACTGATCGTGAAGATCTTGGGTAAAATAGGTCTTCAGCAACCCATGCTTGACGTAAAAGGTTTGTCGTAAGAGGCAACTAACAGGAGCAGGTGGTCAGGCTCACTGACTTGGTTGATGCATGTCATCATGTCCCAATTGCGTGGAGCGGTGCTCATGATGTCAATTATTGGATTGTCTGTTCCAGACTCAATTATAAAACATGAAGTCACACATACTAAATGAAATTGTGTTACACATCCATCGAGGTATAGCGAGATAAAAAATTATAAGAACTGACTAACATTCCGACGTTCATACAGTTTGGCCCTTGCTCAATGCAGGCCCATAAACTCCAATGAACTCACACAAAGTGAAAGTCAAGTCTCAAATCTTTCATTTGTTAAAGACATTCAATTCTAACATGTAGGGGCACGGGTGGCCCAGTCGTCTAAGGCGCCGCGATTCGCTGTGCAGAGTTGCGTCCCTTGGGCACGCCAGAAACCTATGATTGTGGGTTCGAATCCCGGTTCGCCCCGATTATGTTTCTAGGTTTGTCAGCACCATACCCGTGCTCGTTGGTTTCACCGAAGTGGTAAACGTCTAAGACGTGCTTCACTTCGGGCTTTCCTCCCACATTAAGCTGACACGCCGTGATATAACTGGAATACTGTTAAAAGCGGCGTTAAACCCAACTCACTCACTCACTCAATTCTAACATGTCTAGCAAGTATGAGCAAAAGAACTATGGTAGTGGTCATAATAGACAACTTTGTGGATGGACAATTTGAAACTGGCCTTGTTACCATGGTTCCTTAAATGTACCAAGCAGACACATTTTCTCCATTTGCAGCATTGGTGGTTAACTGGAATTTCCAAGGAACATTTAATATGGAGCTGTCATGCTCTAGCAACCATGGATATGCTTGTGAACACTATAGCTTGTAGAGAAACCAGATTATGAGAAGAATGTGGTGTGTAACGTGAGGCTGGTTTGCACCCAGTGAGAGGAGTAATATGTTCATGCGTGGTGCTGTGTTGCAGGACTAGAGATTAGAAACCAGATAACCCTTGAAGGCTCCAGTTGAAGGCTCCAGTTGATCGTAACTGGTTTCTGTTGGACTGTGTGACTGTGAGCAATTGGACAGTGTTACTTGTGTTGAAAACCATGACAAATAGACACAGACCCTTTCTTCTTCAAACCAAATGACCAACATGTTCAAACTTGTGTTACCATGGTTAGTGAAACACAGCAATCATTTCTCTCCAAAATTCTTTTTTGAAATCTGTTAAACCACAACAATAGTTTCCTCTCCAAAACTGCCATGTAGCCCTCTGGTTGATGTGTTCGTTTGTCCGACTGTAGTCTGGGTTCAGTATTCCAGATGGGTACAGTGTGTAAAACACATTCATGGTGAACCCTGCACTAATTATCCTAGATTGTTGCTACAAGAATGGTAAACTCATACACTCTCAACAGGGTTAAACACAGCCACTGGCCAGACTAGTGAAAATCTGGAAGATCTATTTTTCCTATCTGGAAGATCTATTTACATTAAATCACTTGTCCTACTTGTTTTATAATTCAAAACTGGCCTCCACAACAGATATCGCTTGGCTGAGATGAAGTAATCTCTTAGGAGATATTGCTGCAATGAAATTGCATCACAATGCAATAGTCCAATCATATTTAACACAGGAAAGTGGGCTTAATGTGGCAAGGGTGGAAACAAGACTTTCGTTAAAAGGCTAGTGGACACTCTTGCCTCGGGAAGATGTCGGTTACCATGACATCACAATCAAATGACATCACATGTGTCTGCTACTGAAGCTGGTAAGCAGTACCTTTATACTCAAGATGCTGCTTATTGCTAAAGACTGAAAATGTTGGATGATAAATAGAATTGCCCCCTCATGTCATTTGATTTCAAATACAGTATACCAATACTTGCTGGTAACAGTTAAAACTCCTTGGCAAGATTTTGGGGTTTAAACTTTTATTTATCATTGTTTATTGAGATATATTTGATATCAAAATATACTCGGGTGTCTAACCCTGTCACTCTGAATTCTGTCTCTTTGGACAAGTTGGACTTGCTCATTAACCTGAAGTGTGAAGTTAACATACATGGTTTAAGCTGCTTGTGTTAGGTGTGTGACTTCTTGTAGGTGATAGTGAGTGGTGGCGAGTGATGGACACTAACACCGTCTCCCAGCAGAATAATATTGGTAAGCATACCATTCAGTGGAAGTTCCCCTATCCACTCCTGGAGCTCATCCTTCTAGAGCACGGGTCTGTTCCATAAATCCAACGTAGCTCTTAGATCATAACTCCCTTATTTTAACATGGACTGTCGTAGCATCACGATCGCTTAGCCAATCTCACAGAAATAACAGTTGTTAAATTATAGTTATAAAATATAATAAAAAGGAGCCCAGAGACTTTCTTCATTTACAGACACTGCAGTAATCTAGACTTGCCAAACATTATAGACTTGCATGGGCTGTATTGGATATATTTGATCAGGGTCTGTATGACAGACTATCATGACCCATCAGTGTGTAGTTGCAATTTTTAACCAACCAATTAGGAAAGACCTGGTTCCTGGAAAAGGGAAACCAGCGAGTGATGAAACCAATGAGCACTCAGCTTACATCTAACAAACGGCAATATTCTCATTTGATGAAAGGTGTGCAGCATGTGCCCTAGCCTTGTGGCTGTCTTTCTTCTCAACACATGTCTTTATTGTGAGGCAGTGGTAGAGTTTGCATAAAGTTCATGCTAGGCTCATGAGCAGAATGAATGATATCACTTCATTAGCTTACAAGGAATAGACATGTCATGTGTATTCACTGGTGTATAACAAAGTCATGAAGTATTTACGATGGTAGTTTCACTAAACCAAAGAAATGCTGTGACCACAACGAGCATACTTTCCATTATTGGGATGTCAGAGGTTATAAAATTTTTGAATCAATTACTCCTCTTACTTAAAATGTTTCATATCCAATGAGACCTTCTTTCATGATATCTAAATGTGGTCTAGAGGCGACTAAATGGATTGCATGGTCCGGAAAGCCCAACTCACTCACTCACTCACTCACTCACTCACTCACTCACTCACTCACTCACTCACTCACTCACTCACCCACCCACTCACCTAACTCACTCACTCACTCACTGATTGTTGGTTTGTTTGGTGGAGGTTGTCTAACTTTGTCTAAACATGTTCATTATCTTTTTGCTTAAAGTCTGGATTTGTTTGTTTGTTTGTTTGTTTGTTTGTTGTTTAACGCTGCGTTCAGCAATATTCCTGCTACATGACATTGGTCTGTAAATAATCAAGTCTGGTCCAGACAATCCAGTGATAGACATCATCAGCATTGACCTATGCAATGTGGAATATGATGACTCAACCAAGTCAGCAAGCCTGACCACCCGATCCCGTTCGTCGCCTCTTGTTACAAAACCTGTCTAATGAAGGGAAACCTGTTAGATACGTTTTGAATGGTAATTGACAGGCGTGAGTGCAATGATCTGTTTCTTACACACCCCAACATGGCACCAATGTGAAGCTCCGGGGTAGAAGAGCTCTTCAGCAACCCAGGCTAGCCGTACCAGGCCATTATGTTTGTTGTAAGAGGCGACTAACAGGATCGGGTGGTCAGGCTCGCTGACTTGGTTGATGCATCTCATCGTATCCCAATTGTGTGGTTCGATGCTCATGATGTCAATGACTGGATTCTCAGGTCCAGACTCAATTATTTACAGACCGCCGTCATATAGTTGGACTATTGCATAGTGCAGCGTTAAACAACAAACAAACAAACGAACCACTTTAGCATTGTATCGATGGATATTTTATCTATTCTCTTGATCACTGTGGCGTATTAATACATGACACAAGTCACATGTGACGTCATCAGACTCACTGCTTACTATTCATATATACCTAGTGTGACCCTTCACAAAAGATTTCCAGCCATATCTGGATTGTCAAGGCAATGATGATAATGTAAACAAGATAAGATCAAAGAACATTTATTACACTCTCTAAAACAATAAAGTTTTGACACAGATGGAAGCATGAGAAGCAATGAATTATGATCAGGAAAGTAGTCCTTCATTATCTGACCCACACTCTGGCGCAGTGGTGACCCAGCATAACACCACTGCCACAGGCTAATTTGCATATCACATGACCAGACGTTTCTCTTGTTTGTAAACAAACACGCTTTTTCAGAAATCAGTATAGAACGGACTGATGCAAGTTTTTGGGGGCGCTTTACATATTGTGTTGCATAATTATATCAATACGCTACTACAACTGCGACCGTGAGTTGCACGACTATATATTTATGCATGAAAGTGACCGTATTGCTAGCTCTCCGTTGGGCTTCGATGACAGCACGTGGAGCTGTACAACCAATGTAAAACTAAGGGTAACTACGCAAAAACAAGTAGATTTTTGCATATTAAGATACTTTCTTAAAGAACCATAACCATTCTTTGACATTTGTTTATGCAAATGTGTAGACTTGTCAAACATGAAACGGATGAAAAGCATATGCAATATCTTGAATGGACTGTGAAAGATGTGACAAATCATCACATGGCGCTGGCCTGTGGCAGAGGTACTATGCTGGCTGGCTGCCGGCCGCATGGAACTCTGTGTAGGAGAGTGTGACCATATGTCATGTTATGAAGGAGCCAATCACGGACCTGGAAATCGACCTCGTACATGTTTGATATCAGTCATTGCATTGGCTTTCTCACCAACAGGTGTGTAAATAATTGCCTTCTGTTCTACAGCATGAAAACCGCTCACTCCCAAATCATATTATATGGTTCTAGTGATTCAAATCTGTCTATGTAGGGGAATGATGCAGATGTAAATTAAACGCCCCTGTTGTGAAAACTGCTCATTTGGGCCATTGTCACTGATGTTGTAGATGGAGATGATGGGGTTGATGGTATTTTGGATAAAGAGGATGAGGACTACAGTGACCCTGACATTGATCAAGAACTGGAGTTTCAGCAGACACACCATATGAAGCCCCACACTGACAGCAAGGGGGAAGGTAGGTGTCTTACACATCACTGGGGTCCCAGCAGACACGATGGGGATGATTCAGAGAGACGGCAGAGGCAAAGGTAGGTGCCGTACATATCACTGGGGTCCCAGCAGACACGAAGGGGATGATTCAGAGAGACGGCAGAGGCAAAGGAAGGTGCCGTACATATCACTGGGGTCCAAGCAGACACGATGGGGAAGATTCAGAGAGACGGCAGAGGCAAAGGTAGGTGCCGTACATATCACTGGGGTCCCAGCAGACACGAAGGGGATGATTCAGAGAGACGGCAGAGGCAAAGGAAGGTGCCGTACATATCACTGGGGTCCAAGCAGACACGATGGGGAAGATTCAGAGAGACGGCAGAGGCAAAGGTAGGTGCCGTACATATCACTGGGGTCCAAGCAGACACGATGGGGAAGATTCAGAGAGACGGCAGAGGCAAAGGTAGGTGCCGTACATATCACTGGGGTCCAAGCAGACACGATGGGGAAGATTCAGAGAGACGGCAGAGGCAAAGGTAGGTGCCGTACATATCACTGGGGTCCCAGCGGACATGATGGGGAAGATTCAGAGAGACGGCAGAGAGGAAGGTAGGTGTCATGTACATCATTGAGGTTCCAGTACACACAGAAGGATGCCTTACTGATGAGTAATATGTCTTTCAGGTTCCATTTTGGCTCTCATGGACAATTAATACATTAGTACAGTTTGTCTATCTATATCATGTACACAGACTCTGTACCCAATCTGGTAATATTGATGCAAGTCAATACCTGAATACACTTGCCTAACAACTTGAACCACTTGTCACTCGAGTTGAGAGGAAAACATTCTAGTCTTGGAAGCCGAGTTTTTCATATATTCAGATTAAGATTGAAAGTTGATCTCTCAGCCTCAAGAGACAATAAATTATTTCTTATCATGAGGTGTCCATTCATCCTGCAAGGATTGTATAAAGCTGGACACTTCTTGATATCCTTGTCATTCTGTTACAACTAACTTTCATATGTGTCTAGCAGATCCAGAAGTGTACTTCATAATTTATAGAATCATCCAAATATTTCTGCAGACCTTTTTGGCCATTTCGCAAATGAGCACACTGAACATATGCATGTAATATCAAATGTTGATTTTCTGCAGAGTTTTTCAACGACAACATGAAGACCAACTTCAAGGAAGGCCTTGTTGAGAACAAACTGCTGAAGAACAGGGTCGGTCTTAACGCCCCGTCCAGCATGGTTCTCTTCTACACCTGGATCATACTCATTGTTCTCATCGCCGTGGTTTCACTGTCAGCTTTCCGGTACCGCTGCAAGGTCAGTACTGGTTGGACAATGGTGGAGATGTATGTTGGTGTATCAGTGTCGACACACCTCGGGGACGGGGTAGCCAGGGATTGATCTCGGGACTCGGCATGGTCTATAGGTTGCTTCCTACACTCTCCCTCCTGTAATGTTTTTAACCCCACCCCCCCCCCCCCCCCCCCCCCCATTTACCCTCTCATCAACCCACTAGGCCCCCATTTACTCTCTCACCCACACACTAGGCCCCCATTACCCTCTCACCCTCTCACCCACCTACTTGGCCCCCATTTACCCTCTCACCCTCTCGCCCCCATTTAGCCAAGTGGATGGGTGGGTGGGTGAGTGAGAGAGAGAGTAAATGGGGGCCTAGTGGGTGGGTGAGAGGGTACATGGGGCCTAGTGGGTGGGTGATAGGGTAAATCGGGGCCTAGTGGGTGGGTGAGAGGGTAAATGGGGGCCTAGTGGGTGGGTGATAAGGTAGATGGGGGCCTAGTGGGTGGGTGAGAGGGTACATGGGGCCTAGTGGGTGGGTGAGAGGGTAAATGGGGGCCTAGTGGGTGGGTGATAGGGTAAATGGGGGCCTAGTGGGTGGGTGATAGGGTAAATGGGGGCCTAGTGGGTGGGTGATAAGGTAGATGGGGGCCTAGTGGGTGGGTGATAAGGTAGATGGGGGCCTAGTGTGTGGGTGATAAGGTAGATGGGGGCCTAGTGGGTGGGTGATAAGGTAGATGGGGGCCTAGTGGGTGGGTGATAAGGTAAATGGGGGCCTAGTGGGTGGGTGATAAGGTAGATGGGGGCCTAGTTGGTGGGTGATAAGGTAGATGGGGGCCTAGTGGGTGGGTGATAGGGTAAATGGGGGCCTAGTGGGTGGGTGATAAGGTAGATGGGGGCCTAGTGGGTGGGTGATAAGGTAGATGGGGGCCTAGTGGGTGGGTGATAAGGTAGATGGGGGCCTAGTGGGTGGGTGATAAGGTAGATGGGGCCTAGTGGGTGGGTGAGAGGGTAAATGGGGGCCTAGTGTGTGGTGAGAGGGTAAATGGGGGCCTAGTGTGTGGTGAGAGGGTAAATGGGGGCCTAGTGTGTGGTGAGAGGGTAAATGGGGGCCTAGTGGGTGGGTGATAGGGTAGATGGGGGCCGGGGGGGGGTGGGGGTGGTAATGGCAAATGGGGGCCCAGTGGGTGGATGAGAGGGTAAATTGGGGCCAAGTAGCCTCTCACCCACCCACTAGGCCCCCATTTACCCTCTCACCACACACTAGGCCCCCATTTACCCTCTCACCACACACTAGGCCACCATTTACCCTCTCACCACACACTAGGCCCCCATTTACCCTCTCACCACACACTAGGCCACCATTTACCCTCTCACCCACCCACTAGGCCCCCATTTACCCTCTCACCACACACTAGGCCCCCATTTACCCTCTCGGCAACCCACTAGGCCCCCATTTACCCTCTCCTGGACAACCCAGCATCTCGAGCTGACTTCAAACTTCAGAACGTTTCCCTGTGACTATGCACAGTGTGCTATTGACATCCTGGGATCAATCAGCCCAGCTGTGCCCTTATCTTGTGTGGCAAGTTTATCCAAGTGGTTGGAATATCATTGAACATTGTGCCATGATTATCTCACTATTGATTCTATTGACAAGGTGACATATGGTTCTTTGTCAACATTCTCACTGTGTAAATAGCTGATTCACACAACCAGAACTTTATGTGTGTACATGTATATATAAATATGTTAAACTGCAGTCTTTGTTGTTAAGTAGAGCTTCCTTTGTGAGTGAATCTTGTGATTCATAAATAGCCTTGGCATTACGTTACATATCTGCCTGCCTGACCGTCTCAGACCGCTTTTAGAGAATGCACGCCCAATGGTCGCATTGATTTTTTACATCATGTATGTAAACTATATGTTTAAACATTTGTTTAAGATCAGGGCCTACTTGCACAAAACAATCTTAGCGCTAAGACTATTGTAAGCCTATGTTAAAGTATGGGAGTTAAGATCATCTTAGCGCTAAGATCGCTTTGTGCAAGTGGGCCCTGGACTGGCAACTTTCTGACCAGGCAGGACACTCGTGTGTGTTGACAGTCTGGCTAGAATTTTCGGGAGTATTCAACACTGCCATAACTTAAAGAGGGACTATGCTCCATGATCTATACGTTTGTGCTGTGTTGGGAACAAAGACATTGTGTCCCATAACATGCATACTGGAGTCACTTCTAGAATGATATATACCACTCCACTTTTGATAATCGGATTTGTCATTCTATTCAAATATATACGATAAATCGCAAAGAACAATGAAGAACGAGGAGTGGTTTATTTCACGATAAGATATTGTTCTATCATGATGTCATTTCTGGAGAATCCAACATATGCTTGCAACTTAATGATGTCGTAAATTGGACATGTTATTTTTGAGAAGGAAGTTTTTAGTGGGTTGTTCCCCATAGGTGTAGTTGGGCAATGCAGAGAAGCGCAATGGCCGTACGATCGCACCCAAAAGAGGGACAGATATGACAATCAGTTTTGGGAAAAATTGTACAGTAATTTGGTTGAGAATTTTGAGAATATCTGGGAAATACCAAACTTAATCCCCTGTTCATAAAATGGACTTGTTAGACATTGCTGAGGTCGGATTGTATCAGGGAGTCATCATTATTTAAACACAGGTAAATATTTTTAAAGCTTTTACATTTTATGAACATGCTTGAAGAGGCTGTACAGGATGTTGAAATTTGTGAGTGAGTGAGTGAGTATGGTTTTACGCAGCTTTTAGCAATATTCCAGCAATATCACGGCGGGGGACACCAGAAATGGGCTTCACACATTGTACCCATGTCAGGAATCGAACCCGTGTCTTCGGCGTGACGAGCGAACGCTTTAACCACTAGGCTACCCGACCCCCCCGAAATTTCATGTAAGAAATACCTGACTTGTGGTCATTGTTTATCGTACATTATAACACGGCAAGCGTGCCCCTCATGGTTTATTCTCCCTGCAGTGTTTTATTGTATGATAAACAACTCCTTCTCAGCATTCATTCTTAAATACACTTGACATATTATGAGAATTTGTTTTGCATATCAGGGAAAAATAACAAATATCCCTATCATAATTGAGTTAGCTTGCAAACAAAGTGGTATTTCAGGGACTAGGTCAAACTGGCAGGGATGCCAACTGCCCATAGCCTGATACATCTACCTCCACCCCCCTTTAATGAGCTAGGGAGAAGTTAAATACCCGGGGTACTTACTGAATGTTGCAGATTTAAGTAGACCTACCCAGAACCTAGTACCCCCACCCCCCTTTAATGAGCTTGGGAGAAGTTAAATACCCGGGGTACCTGCTGAATGTTGCAGATTTACCTAGACCTGCCCAGAACCTAGTACCTCCACCCCCCTTTAATGAGCTAGGGAGAAGTTAAATACCCGGGGTACTTGCTGAATGTTGCAGATTTACCTAGACCTACCCAGAACCTAGCACCCCCACCCCCCTTTAATGAGCTAGGGAGAAGTTAAATACCTGGGGTACCTGCTGAATGTTGCAGATTTACCTAGACCTGCCCAGAGCCTGATCTTCAGCCCCATGTCTGCAGCAAATGTCTTTACAAATTCCAAATTGGAGTAATAAATTTCCCAGTTCATGTAATAACTAATTTTATGGCTTTGTAGAGGCTTTACTGTATTTCACTGACAACAGGACCATTAAGGAGGAAGAGATTTTAATGCATAGTTTCATAATATTGCTTGAATCTCATCACAAAATCTTTTTGTACATGTCATGTTCACAACTGAGTTCTTAGGGGATAGAGGCTATGTCTCAAAACAAGGGTGTAATATGTGAAGCCTACACCTTGTGTATTGGGATATTCTCTCACTCAATCGTGGGCAATGGTTATTAAGATTTTTTAAATTCAGTGCTTAAAAGATGTGGATGGGTTGTTCAAAACATTAGGATTGGTTGTTTAGAATGTAGGGATGGGTTGTTTAGGTTTGCAGATTGTTTGTTTAAAACAAGAATGTTAAGTGTGTGAGTTAGTGAATGTTGATGCCAGTCAGCAATATTGCATCTTTGTCCCTTGTTTACGTCACGTGTTCAGATTTACCTGTTCTAATTTAGAATGATCTCACTGCATAAGGTTTCAAATGTTATTTATAGAGCCATCAAATTAGCTTTAACAATCAGGTTTTTTTTTGTGCTGTGTTGGGAACAAAGACATTGTCTCCCATAACATGCATACTTGAGTCACTTCTAGAATGATATATACCACTCCACTTTTGATAATCAGATTTGTCATTCTATTCAAATATATACGATAAATCGCAAAGAACAATGAAGAACGAGGAGTGGTTTATTTCACGATAAGATATTGTTCTATCATGATGTCATTTCTGGAGATTTCAACATATGCTTGCAACTTAATGATGTCGTAAATTGGACATGTTATTTTTGAGAAGGAAGTTTTTAGTGGGTTGTTCCCCATAGGTGTAGTTGGGCAATGCAGAGAAGCGCAATGGCCGTACGATCGCACCCAAAAGAGGGACAGATATGACAATCAGTTTTGGGAAAAATTGTACAGTAATTTGGGTGAGAATTTTGAGAATATCTGGGAAATACCAAACTTAATCCCCTGTTCATAAAATGGACTTGTTAGACATTGCTGAGGTCGGATTGTATTCAGGGAGTCATCATTATTTAAACACAGGTAAATATTTTTAAAGCTTTGACATTTTATGAACATGCTTGAAGAGGCTGTACAGGATGTTGAAATTTCATGTAAGTGAGTGAGTGAGTGAGTGAGTATGGTTTTACGCCGCTTTTAGCAATATTCCAGCAATATCACGGCGGGGGACACCAGAAATGGGCTTCTCACATTGTACCCATGTCGGGAATCGAACCCGTGTCTTCGGCGTAACGAGCGAACGCTTTAACCACTAGGCTACCCGACCGCCCCGAAATTTCATGTAAGAAATACCTGACTTGTGGTCATTGTTTATCGTACATTATAACACGGCAAGCGTGCCCCTCATGGTTTATTCTCCCTGCAGTGTTTTATTGTATGATAAACAACTCCTTCTCAGCATTCATTCTTAAATACACTTGACATATTATGAGAATTTGTTTTGCATATCAGGGAAAAATAACAAATATCCCTATCATAACTGAGTTAGCTTGCAAACAAAGTGGTATTTCAGGGACTAGGTCAAACTGGCAGGGATGCCAACTGCCCATAGCCTGATACATGTACCTCCACCCCCTTTTAATGAGCTTGGGAGAAGTTAAATACCCGGGGTAATGCTGAATGTTGCAGATTTACCTAGACCTACCCAGAACCTAGCACCCCCACCCCCCTTTAATGAGCTAGGGAGAAGTTAAATACCCGGGGTACTTACTGAATGTTGCAGATTTACCTAGACCTGCCCAGAACCTAGTACCTCCACCCCCCTTTAATGAGCTAGGGAGAAGTTAAATACCCGGGGTACTTACTGAATGTTGCAGATTTAAGTAGACCTACCCAGAACCTAGTACCCCCACCCCCCTTTAATGAGCTGGGGAGAAGTTAAATACCCGGGGTACTTACTGAATGTTGCAGATTTACCTAGACCTACCCAGAACCTAGTACCCCCACCCCCCTTTAATGAGCTAGGGAGAAGTTAAATACCTGGGGTACTTACTGAATGTTGCAGATTTAAGTAGACCTACCCAGAACCTAGTACCCCCACCCCCCTTTAATGAGCTAGGGAGAAGTTAAATACCCGGGGTACTTACTGAATGTTGCAGATTTACCCAGACCTACCCAGAACCTAGTACCCCCACCCCCCTTTAATGAGCTTGGGAGAAGTTAAATACCCGGGGTACTTACTGAATGTTGCAGATTTAAGTAGACCTACCCAGAACCTAGTACCCCCACCCCCTTTAATGAGCTAGGGAGAAGTTAAATACCCGGGGTACTTACTGAATGTTGCAGATTTAAGTAGACCTACCCAGAACCTAGTACCCCCACCCCCCTTTAATGAGCTGGGGAGAAGTTAAATACCCGGGGTAATGCTGAATGTTGCAGATTTACCTAGACCTGCCCAGAACCTAGTACCCCCACCCCCCTTTAATGAGCTAGGGAGAAGTTAAATACCCGGGGTACTTGCTGAATGTTGCAGATTTACCTAGACCTGCCCAGAACCTAGTACCCCCACCCCCCTTTAATGAGCTAGGGAGAAGTTAAATACCCGGGGTACTTACTGAATGTTGCAGATTTAAGTAGACCTACCCAGAACCTAGTACCCCCACCCCCCTTTAATGAGCTGGGGAGAAGTTAAATACCCGGGGTACTTACTGAATGTTGCAGATTTACCTAGACCTACCCAGAACCTAGTACCCCCACCCCCTTTAATGAGCTAGGGAGAAGTTAAATACCTGGGGTACCTGCTGAATGTTGCAGATTTACCTAGACCTGCCCAGAGCCTGATCTTCAGCCCCATGTCTGCAGCAAATGTCTTTACAAATTCCAAATTGGAGTAATAAATTTCCCAGTTCATGTAATAACTAATTTTATGGCTTTGTAGAGGCTTTACTGTATTTCACTGACAACAGGACCATTAAGGAGGAAGAGATTTTAATGCATAGTTTCATAATATTGCTTGAATGCAATCTCATAATACAATTTTAAAATACCTCTGAATTTAAGAAAATAAGAACTGTAAGAAAATCCCAAGTTTCCATGAAACAATATTTTTCCCACATTGCCTGCCAGGGGCACTCAGTTTTTGATCCTGTATAAATCCCTGTGTGGTGTGAAATCTTTTATTCCTTAAGTTTTGGGGGTTTGGTGTTAGGGTTGGAGGTTTTCATGGGGAGAAGGTCTACAAGTCTCCCATATGACAAAATCAGCTTTTCGACAGATTTACAATAAAGGCAAACATAACTTTCTTATCATCCTAGTTTTACTCTTATAAAAAATAAATGGCATCTTCATTCTATGTAGAAATGAGCTTCAGTGGAAAAACATAAACTTGACATACTCAGGGGGTCTGCTGCACAATCAGCCTTGTTAATCATTGCGATGAAGGAATCTCATCACAAAATCTTTTTGTACATGTCATGTTCACAACTGAGTTCTAAGGGGATAGAGGCTGTGTCTCAAAACAAGGGTGTAATATGTGAAGCCTACACCTTGTGTATTGGGATATTCTCTCACTCAATCGTGGGCAATGGTTATTAAGATTTTTTATAATAGTGCTTAAAAGATGTGGATGGGTTGTTCAAAACATTAGGATTGGTTGTTTAGAATGTAGGGATGGGTTGTTTAAGATTTGCAGATTGTTTGTTTAAAACAAGAATGTTAAGTGTGTGAGTTAGTGAATGTTGATGCCAGTCAGCAATATTGCATCTTTGTCCCTTGTTTACGTCACGTGTTCAGATTAAACTGTGCTAATTTAGAATGATCTCACTGCATAAGGTTTCAAATGTTATTTATAGAGCCATCAAATTAGCTTTAACAATCAGGTTTTTATTGTGATTTGAAACCTCAGATTGACCAATCAGAATCGAGTATGTTCCAAATTCAAGATTGAATTACTTATACTTTACTATTTTGCGAGGGCTGGTCAAAAAGTTTTAAGCCTAACAAGCAATACCAACATTTGTGAAAGTGTACTTGTTCTGTTCCAATTCTGTGTCCATCTGGACCCCTATCACGTTCAACTGGCTGTCACTCATATACAAACGGCCTCAACAGACCAAATACACTTGCAATGAACTACTCAAACAATGTACTACATTGACTAGTTCACTTTGTTATGGCCCATACTTGAAAGTTAATCAGGCTTAGAACGTATTGACCAGCCGTCGTATGATGACACACTATCAACCAGGAGGATGTTACCCCCACCCTCTAGGCACCCGGCATACCGCTTAATTAGTAAATAATTAAGTAAATTAGACTTGGATTTTCTCAAATAATGCATGACCATGCATGCTCATTAGCTTAGGGCTAAACATTTTATTGGTTGTCACTCTTTGCAAGAAAAAATACGTAAAATGAATTTCAACACTGAAATATTGGCATCTGAGTAACAAATAAACATTTCATGGCATCCAGTGTACAGCACTGCGGCATCCAGAGTACCCCTTACCAGGCCTCAGCATCTAGCGTACCAAAAGGGGATTAGCACCTTCAACCAGGATGCACATTGCTACCTCTTAATCCACAGGATTAATGAGAAACGGTTCATCTAAATAACCCTGTAACAAATACATGCACAGCAATGAAACCTGTATTGTTTTTTTTTCACAGGGAATGATCATGAATGGAAGAAACTTCAGGAACGGAAACCATGGCAACTATAGACATGAGAGACCTGGAGAAGAAAATAAAAGGCTGCTGGAAAATGTGTACACATAATATGTTGTTCAGTTAATATTCTCCTGATTGTGTTCAGTTGTTAGGAAGGTAGATTATGTGGAGGTGCTGTAATACACGTTTCTGTGCATATGTAAATACTTGTGAATCTGGAATACTAAAACAAACAAATATAAGAAACTGCCCAATCTCATTAACATCAGATCTTAGTTAACGCTATCGCTAAACAAAGATCTGATGACATCCCATTATAGGTCACGTCAGAATGACCCTACATCCGATCAATCAGAGCGTGGCTTACCAGATCATGAAAGTGACAGTCGGAATGTGTTTTCTAATCATGCAACCTCGAAAATGTCAATACAGGCTTTTCCGACCGACAGTTACGACCCGTACGACTGATTCCGTCAAAATTATCGCCTATCTCACGCTTCAGTGGGATAAACATTTGAACGGAGGAGGCGTTGAACAGTATGTGGGAAGCACTTCTATACAATCTCAACCATATATTAGACATTCCTGAATGTTCGTTTGTTCAGTTTTCAAAATTTTAATCGAGAACTGTGTCAACATAATTTTCAAGCATAGTCTGAAATGGAAGTCACCAGGTTGAAATGAGTGCCCTAAAGCTTGAGAAAGCTGGTTTCTAATTGTCTGATGTCGACTTCTTGTTAATCATTTTAGTGGTCGGTCAAAGTTCGCGAAAGGTCGTTCTGACGTGACCCGTAATGGGATGTCCTCAGATCTTTGTTTAGCGGCAGCGAGAACTCAGATCTGATTTTAATGAGATTGGAAACTGCCTTAATTGCTCTCCTGCTGTTGACAAAAGGAGCTTACAGCTGTACATCTGAAAAGGAACTGTTAGTTTTTCTGTTTATTTGTGTTCTGTGATGAATGCAAACTAATATGTCTGTCCTCCTCATCGGGCTGATCCAGAACCTGATGTTGCCTATCTCCGGCAGCTGCTCCGTTGGGTACTTAATAGGCAGGAGGAGTTTCTACAACGAAATACTGTAACTATGGTAAACTGGTCAGTTATGGTAAATAATGTGTGCTGTTATTATGAGATATGACAGGTTATACTTCCAAATGTTTTGCAAATTGTATTTTTAGAAACAAATCTTATTTGAAAAAGTTGAATGTGTATCAGTGTTTCATGATTTAGTCTATTCATGTATGGTCCTATTGTCCCCAACTATTGTTTTACAAGGACATTTATCACTTGTAGATACTGGAGCTGTAACGCCCAAGGTTTCCAGAACCTACCATTTAATTAAAGTCACACCCATTACTTTCGTTGGATTTGATCATCGGAAAGTTTCACCATGAGCAAGTTTAGGGCCACAGGTAGTCTCTGACTATCCTTTAATATACTGGGACACATTAGAAATGGGACAGTTATTGTCCCAATCAATGTTTGTGACACGAGTTGGAGAGGAATGTGTTGATAGTTTAACACTTTAAAATAGAGTTTATTATTAAGATCAATTTATGATCATATACTGACTTACTTCAGTATTTATTGAAATCTTTTTCATCACTACTTCCTTTATACAGCAAGATGACTGAAAAACTGTTCAATGCAGAGTTAAATCCATCTCACTCATTCACTCACTCACAGTTTCAATAACTATTTTCAGTTAATAACGACTTTCTCAAGTGTTTCTTAAAAGTATTTTCAATAAGTATTGCCTTTCTACAAGGTTATGTGAAATTATTTACACTTAGTAGTGCCTTTCTACAATGTTTCATGCATTTTTTTTCACTTAGTATTGCCTTTCTACAATGTTTCATGAAAATATTTTCAATAAGTATTTCCTTTCTACAATGTTTCATGATATTATTTTCCATTAGTATTGCCTTTCTACAATGTTTCATGAAATAATTTTCAATTTCTACTGCCTTTCTACAATGTTTCATGAAATATTTTCAAGTATTATTGACTTTCTTCATTGTTTTATGAAAATATTTTCCATTAGTATTGGCTTTCTGCAGTGTTTCAATATGGTTATCATGTTTCTCGTGATCACTGTACTAAACATTGCTAAATACCTTCAAATTATTTTTGTTGAAATCAAAGGACTAACGTTTTCTACAAGTGTTTCAGCTGTACTGTGATATTGAATATAGATGTTCGGGGCTGAGTCAAAAGACATGTCCTTGATTTTATTGTGAAAGACATACAATGAACAACAGATAGAAATCACAAACAAATGCATCGAAACAAATTTAAAAGCTTCACCTTTGGCAGTTTGCTGGAAGTATGCTTGTGTTTTGTGCTCAACATTATGTAAAGCCATATGTACAGGCAGACAGACACTGAAATGGGCCAGATAGAAATTTTGTCTTTTGACACAGTCCCCTTAAATGGGAATACATGTTTTGTGGTACTTTTTGTATAAAAATATGTGCACCATTGGTAACCATGACGATTGATGATAGATATGGCTGACATGATCTTTTTTAAGACTAGTCATCTAATGGGGATTAATGTTGTGTGGGAGTGATCTATCACATCATAGCAGTGATCTAATACCACGTAGCTGTGATCTAACACCACATGGCAGTGATCTATCACCACATAGCAGTGATCTAACACCACATAGCAGTGATCTAACACCACGTAGCAGTGATCTAACACCACATAGCAGTGATCTAACACAACGTAGCAGTGATCTAACACCACGTAGCAGTGATCTAACACCGCATAGCAGTAATCTAACACCACGTAGGAGTCTAGTGTCTTACATTAACCAAATGTTGATAATAGTGGGAATCTTTACCTAAACAAGCACAAGCTGTAGTGTGCCTTGATGCAATGTGTTGTGGGCCTTGTTGCAATGTGTAGTGTGTTGCTAACATGTTAATACAACCTGTCTCTGTATGTAAACTGTACATAGGAGAGCTACTTTAGTGGGACTACATTTTAACATGGTGCTAACATTTTATGCAATGTAGATTTGTCTGTAGTTAGAATCCTGTATTTCCAGGTATATCAGAGAGTTAGCTATTGGGGAAGAAGCAATCACCTGGGTTTGTTGATGATGTTGTATCTCACACCAAGTATTAATGGCATCACAGCTGTATGAACAAACACTTTCATCACAATCATCTGTCAGCTCTCAGTGACTGCTTGAAGTGGAACCATTCTCCCATGCAGTCATACCCTTGCTTCACAATCATCTGTCAGTGACTGCGTTAAGTGGAACCATTCTCCCATGCAGTCGTACCCTTGCTTCACAATCATCTGTCAGTGACTGCGTGAAGTGAACCATTCTCTCATGCAGTCGTACCCTTGCTTCACAATCATCTGTCAGTGACTGCGTGAAGTGAACAATTCTCCCATGCAGTCGTACCCTTGCTTCACAATCATCTGTCAGTGACTGCGTGAAGTGGAGCCATTCTCCCATGCAGTCGTACCCTTGCTTCACAATCAGCTCTCAGTGACTGCATGAAGTGAACCATTCTCCCATGCAGTCGTACCCTTGCTTAACAATCATCTGTCAGTGACTGCGTGAAGTGAACCATTCTCTCATGCAGTCGTACCCTTGCTTCACAATCGTCTGTCAGCTCTCAGTGACTGCGTGAAGTGGAACCATTCTCTCATGCAGTCGTACCCTTGCTTCACAATCATCTGTCAGTGACTGCATACAGTGGAACCATTCTCCCATGCAGTCGTACCCTTGCTTCACAATCATCTGTCAGTGACTGCATAAAGTGGAGCCATTCTCCCATGCAGTCGTACCCTTGCTTCACAATCATCTGTCAGTGACTGCATACAGTGGAACCATTCTCCCATGCAGTCGTACCCTTACTTCACAATCATCTGTCAGTGACTGCATACAGTGGAACCATTCTCCCATGCAGTCGTACCCTTGCTTCACAATCATCTGTCAGTGACTGCATAAAGTGGAGCCATTCTCCCATGCAGTCGTACCCTTGCTTCACAATCATCTGTTAGTGACTGCATACAGTGGAACCATTCTCCCATGCAGTCGTACCCTTGCTTCACAATCATCTGTCAGTGACTGCGTGAAGTGGAGCCATTCTCCCATGCAGTCGTACCCTTGCTTCACAATCATCTGTCAGTGACTGCGTGAAGGGAACCATTCTCCCATGCAGTCGTACCCTTGCTTCACAATCATCTGTCAGCTCTCAGTGACTGCGTGAAGTGGAACCATTCTCCCATGCAGTCGTACCCTTGCTTCACAATCATCTGTCAGTGACTGCATACAGTGGAACCATTCTCCCATGCAGTCGTACCCTTGCTTCACAATCATCTGTCAGCTCACACATATGTCGCAGTGACTGCTTGAAGTGGAACCATTCTCACATGAAGTAGGGCTACACTCAATGGTGATTCAGGGCTTATTTTATGTTTGTAGAATTAGGCATGCAGAGTTACATCCATATTCATCATGATGTGATGGAGTTTGAATCCTAGATTTGCCAAGATCACAACCCTTGGTCTGTCAGCACCACACCAGGTTGTGTTTCACCGAAGTGGTCCACTTCTAGACCTGTGTCACCTTTGGCTTCCTCCCCCAAATCTGGATAAGCTGTGATGTGACTAGATACTGTTCGAAGCCGCCTTATACCGTAATCCTCACTCAGAAGGGTGTCTCAGGTATTGTTGCTAGGTTGGGTGTGATGTCTCTGTTACGCTTAATATCCCTGACAGTCATCCAGTGCATTGGCAAACAGGCGGCTAATGTCATCATGAAGGAAGGCCCTAATCACGTGGGGATGATCTTTGCCCAATGTCTAATCGGACAACAATTTTTTAGGTTAGACCTGGGGCCCCACATATTTTTGGGTCATTTTCTTCCACCACATATCATTTTAATAACTTTTCAGAAAGGACAAATTTTATGTTTGCTTGGCTCTGTTGGTCTGTTTGAATAATATCCCTTCACCTAAATATGAAATTGCACCCTTGATAAACGTATGTTGTGCAGTGCTACCATATCAGCAATATTATATTGACATATAACTTTTATGATATTCAAACATGGCAGAAGTGAAAATACTGAGCTGCCTGTTTCAGATCTCTTTAAAGTATTTTACACCCATTTATGACATATGTTTAATGACAAAGGTTATATTCTGATACAGATAATATGTTGTTTAGTGTAAAATTAACATTGGTAGGAAGTTGTTATTTTTTTATCATTGTAACTTAAATGGATTTTGTCTCAACTGACTTTAAGACGATTGTTGGGGTTGTCTCTCATGGTGTGGTGGAAATGTCACCTGGGACACACATGTTGCCTGGGGGGATACGGAGCTGTATCCCCCTTCTCAGCAGGATGTTATTGCTGTAGATGGATGCTAGGGGTAGCATGCCGATATACAACAATGGCTTCCCGGTGCAGGTGTATTGATTGAGGGTGTCATGTGTTTTGCTTATCAGTGAACAGTTCAGCCTCATGTTTGGTAGGAATTAGATTTTTGTATTTGAAGTACATTTATGTATTATTATGATCAGAGCAACTTATGTTTTTGCTTTACAGATCAGCCCACTTTTAATTCATCTTAAGAAAAAAATGAAAATGCTGTTTTTAATGAAAGATGCTTATTGTAAACATCTTCTCATTATAAGCCTGACAACATCTTATTTTGCTTTTTCCAGCTTTTTGACTGATAATTGAGACTTGTTTTCCTCTTCCCTCCTCCTCTCCTCTGCATGTCCCTCTTCCCTCTCCTCCCCATTTCTTCCCCCTCATCTCTCCACCCCTCACATCTCCACCCCCCTCATCTCCACCCCTCACATCTCCACCCCTCACCTCCTCATGTGGGATGGGGTAGCCTAGTGGTCAAGCGTTGTGTCATCACACCTAGGTTTGATTCCCAGCATAGGAAGCCCATTCTTGATGTCCCCTTCTATGATATTGCTATTATAGGAAGAAGCATAAACCCAACTCATCATCATATATGCTCAGACAAGAATACTCTTTACAAATACAGCTGGTTCAACCCTTGTTTGTACAACACATATCTCTTAATATTACAGCTGTTTTCATAAGGCAATATTTGATATTCTTAAAACCACTCATATTTCATAGCAATGAACATTACTTGTCCAGGGATATTGATGTATTGTCCTTGGCTTGCAGGCATATTGTTTAGTGTGTGATCAGTGGAGGAATATAGTAAGTTTTGTTTCTATGCATTGTATGGAAGCACAGTCACAATGGCCTATCAATATGATGTGTACACAGTCTGTCCAAAAAAATTTTTTGAGTACGGCTCAAATTTGTGATTTGGTATTATTTTAATATATTTTAATATATTTTAATATATACTTCATGACTACTCTGTCATGACATTGCATATTAAGGAACACCCAATATATTCCTTTGACTATAGTTCATCTGTCATGATGTGGCAGATCATCTGGAGTCATGTGAAAAAATCGGTTCTTTTACATCTTTTGGGTAGTATATTTAATGTGTTAATATATGGATGGTTATTAGCTGAGCTAACTGACTTGGTGTTAATGGTAAGCGTAAATGGGTAGACCAAAAACTACAAAGTATGGAGTAAAGTCGCAGACTGTGTACACTATAATCTGTCGCCCAGACTCAAGAGAATAAGTTAAACAAGTCCAACTCAAGTCTTGAACATTTTGGCAAGTCTAGATTGCCTCAGCTCTAGCCTTACATTAAGCTTTGGCTCCATTTGGATTTTATTTTGTAGCTATATATTTTTATATAAGATAACTTTATTTCTGTGACTAAATGTTAGTCTGTGTACACTACTGCACTGTCGGAAATACCCATGACAGCTCGAGCTGAGAACAAAGACCCATACAATCAGGACTTCTTTCGTCCGCAAGTCATTCACTCTCTCAGCTCCATGTGGAGTCTGCTGGCTGTAGTGGTAAGTATGGGTTTTATAATGTCTGGTTTTGCTTGGATTTTAAACAAGTGTTCTTTACATGAGTATTCTTATGAAGTCATTTTAATATGCTGTTTTTTATTTTCATGTTTCACTCATGTGTGGGTGTTTTATAAATAAAAATACCAGGGTGGATGTGGCGTTGTCTGTTATACAGAATCTTCGCAAGGCAAGAGAGTTCACTGAGAGTCCAGTTTCCGCCCTTGCCGAACTAGGCTGGAATTCCTGGGCTTGATCATAGCGCCACCAGTGGCTATTACCAGTTATGTCCCTTCTAAGCCTCTCGTATGGACTAGTCACATTCCACCTCTCGTATCACTTGCATTTGCTTCAAACAAAATGGCAGCGCCCAGTCAGGACAATCTGATCAATAATCAAGATCTTACATTGCGAAGTGCATCAAATCACGTGAACACCTTGATTAAAAACATGAAAAGATTTGGAAAACGAGTTGGCGGTGCAAATGCTTTGCAAATCCTGCAATCGACCAAAATCAGCACAACAGTTTATGAACTGGATTTCAATTTTGTTGTGCGATTTTGATTCGTCTATGCATAGACTCATTAGTCCAGCCAAAATGTAACTCCATAATACCAGCCTAGTTCGGCAAGGGTGGAAACTGGACTTTTATAGTCAGTTAACTCTCTTGCCTTGGGAAGATGATTTTACAGAGGAACTGAGATGCTGATGAAATATACTCAACAACAAAAGTTCTTGTGACACCAATAAGTAAAGTTTGGTTTTCAATATTACATGTAGTACATGTATGGAATCAAGTCACAAAAACGCAACTGCTACAGAAAAGCATGCATTCCATGCAAAAGTTGATTTTAATGCAAGCCCCATTCATTTCACTACCAAAGAATGGGTATAAAACGTGCGTTAACATGATTCCATATGCATTGTTTAGCATTGTGCTGACAACAACCACTCAGAAAAACAACAAAATTACGCAATTATTCAACAATATGAAATGCCACGCCTGTCCGAAAATGAGCGTCTGCGAGCCATTGGTATGTTTGAAGCAGGATCGAGTCAACGTGATGCTGCAAGACAATTTAACATCCACAGAAACACCATTTGGTGTTTATGGCAACGTTGGCAACAGACGAATGCAGTCAGAGACCATCCTCGGAGTGGCAGGCCACGCGTAACCAGTAATTCCAGCCAGCAACAGAGACTGCAAGAAGCATCCCTGGCCTTCGACGAATATCTTCACAAACCGTACGTTGTCGACTCAGATGTGCAGGGATTGTCGCCAGAAGACCCGCCAGACATCCCATTTTGACAGGAAACCACCGTCAAGCACATTTTTCAGTGGTGCAGACAGCGTCAACGCTTGATGGCCATGCAGTGGGGACAAGTTCTATTCACTGACGAGTCTTGTTTTCACCTCAGCCACAGCGATGGACGGATTCGAGTGTACCGACGTCGAGGTGAACGTTCAGCAATAATTGTGTCATGGAAGAAGATCGGTTTGGGGGCGGCAGCCTTATGGTATGGGGTGGGATGGCAGCAAGACAGAGGACCTGTTTGATAGTCGCAGAGGGAAGTCTCAACTGACAGTGCTACCGCGACGAGATCATCGGCCCTGTTGTTCTACCATTTTTGCGTCGTCATGGCCCAGGCATTACCTTTCAACATGACAACACCCGGCCTCATATTGCTTGACTTGTTCAGGATTCTCCTCAACAAAACAACGTGAATGTCATCCCCTGGCCGGCTCGCTCCCCTGATCTCTCACCAATCGAGCACATGTGGGATGAGATGGATTGGCGCCTTTGATGCAACCACGTTTCCACAGACACTCCAGGAACTTCGAAACCAGCAGATATGGACAGATATCCCATGAGACGAAGATGTGTTGCTTGCATCGCAACCAGAGGTGGACACACAAGCTGTTGATTTGTAAATTGACATTTTGGCATGTTCATGTTTTTTAGGAAATCACGCATTTTCTGAAGTCAGTATGGCAAATTACCATTTGAACACTTACAGGAGTCTTTTATCTGTTGCAAACCGAAATTGTTTCAGATTTGCATTAAATCTTATTCAATGTCCCAGGAACTTTTGTTGTTCAGTATACATTCAGCCAGGACAAGATCTAGCTCCCCTGCACCTGATTTGTTTCTTGTTTTATGGATGACTACTCTAAATATTGCAAAAGTAAAATATTTAGTAAGGATTAGCTACATGGATGAACAACTTCTTTATTACAATAGGAGCGAAGTTTCTGTGTAGGTTCTGACACCATTCTCAAACAAGTGAGCTAACAGTGTTAGAAAGTACACCGAACCATTGCTCCTAATTGTAATAAAGAAGTTGTTCATCCATATATCTTATCCTTACTTAGTACACTAACTTCTAAATGCCTCTCAAATAAGTTAGAAATTTTTTATAAATAAGGCAAAAAGATTGAAAATATGCTTACACAGATCAAACAAGACAGAGCTTGATCACCTGACCTCTGCTTTAGTGGGCTCTGGTGACAAGCTGCAGACTCTACTACGATCTGCCCATGTGACCAGAAAACAGGCAACAGACTGCTACGATCTGCTCATGTGACCAGAAAACAGGCAACAGACACCGCTAAGATCTGCTCATGTGACCAGAAAACAGGCAACCGGCTCCGCTAAGATCTGCTCATGTGACCCAAAAACAGGCAAAAGACACCGCTAAGATCTGCTCATGTGACCAGAAAACATGCAACAGACTCCGCTAAGATCTGCTCATGTGACCAGAAAACAGGCAACAGACTCCGCTGCGATCTGCTCATGTGACCAGAAAACAGGCAACAGATACCGCTAAGATCTGCTCATGTGACCAGAAAACAGGCAACAGATACCGCTAAGATCTGCTCATGTGACCAGAAAACAGGCAACAGATACCGCTACGATCTGCTCATGTGACCAGAAAACAGGCAACAGATACCGCTAAGATCTGCTCATGTGACCAGAAAACAGGCAACAGACACCGCTAAGATCTGCTCATGTGACCAGAAAACAGGCAACAGACTCCGCTGCGATCTGCTCATGTGACCAGAAAACATGCAACAGACACCGCAAAGATCGGCTCATATGACCCCCAAAAAGGCAACAGACTCCGCTAAGATCGGCTCATGTGACCAGAAAACAGGCAACAGATACCGCTAAGATCTTTGGACCTAAGTGGATGCCATTACTTCTGCTGTTGCCTTTGGACCTAAGTGGATGCCATTACTTCAGCTGCGGTCATTGAACTGAAGTGAATGTCATTAGTTCTGCTGTGGCCATTGAACTGAAGTGGACACCATTAGTATTGCTGTGGCCATTGAACTGAAGTGGACGCCATTAGTTCTGCTCTGGCCTTTGAACCTAAGTGGATGCCATTAGTTCTGCTCTGGCCATTGAACTGAAGTGGACACCATTAGTATTGCTGTGGCCATTGAACTGAAGTGGACACCATTAGTATTGCTGTGGCCATTGAACTGAAGTGGGCGCCATTAGTTCTGCTGTGGCCTTTGAACCTAAACGGACGCCATTACTTCAGCCACGGTCATTAAGCTGAAGTGGACACCATTAGTTCTGCTGTGGCCATTGAGCAGTTCAACATGAACCCAAGCTTCCAACACTCAATTATCCTGTTTTATCGGAATGTAACTAGGAAATAGTTTCGGAACTAGGGAAGCAGGGAACTAAGCCAGGCATAATTGGGGCACAGTTCAGAATATCAGACAGGGGGGAAGTGGTTATGCGCCCGCACACATGAAACAGATTACAGGAACAAAAAAAACCACAAGAATGTTGACATAAAATGTGAGAAACGAACAGCCAAAGACAAATGTTCACATGACACATACTTCAAATTTTGTTTATTGTATAAATGTTTATATCATATGTTGAAATTACATTTATGACCCGTACTGAAGCATTACCCGACTTCAATAACGGCATCTCTTCAAGACGGCCCTGTGTCCACGTGCAGGAGAATGTGCGTGCGGTGTGTGTTCCGATACCTTGCAGCGTTGCGTTAAGTTATTAAACTGTATATTTGAAACATAAACATGTGGTGCATACACTTGCGCTGCTGAACTCCTCACCACGTCTGCGGGAGGCACAGCGTTCTGTCTGTTCCCAATCCCCGACATCCTCCCGCTGTGGGTGCAGTCTTCTCACTTCCTTCCAGTGTGGCACAGACACGTTGGACGCACATGGCTTAACGGTGTATCTATAGTCTCTCAGAGACCAGGAAACATAAAACTATCTGAAAACTCCCAACAGTACCTTTGGCAAGTATAGATGTCCAATTATTCTAAGCCGCTAAATAGGGCCTGTGGTGTAGCCTAGTGGTTATAACGTTCGTTCGCCTCGCCGAAGACCCGGGTTCAATTCCCAACACGGGTCCAATGTGTGAATCCTATTTCTGGTGTCCCCTGCCGTGACATTGCTGGACTATTGCTAAAGGCGGCTTAAAACCATACTCACTCACTCACTCACTAAATAATTGGGATACCACGTTAAATTTTAACTCACTTTCTCTAGATTCTTCACATTAAGAAACAGATACTCAAGGAACCAATCTATTATATATTGAAGACAATTTAACAGAAACAAATTTCAATTATTTTCATGTCAGAGATAAAATTGAGTCAATGTGCCTGGACGTACATGACTGACGACTTTCATGTGTGGTCGAGCCTGGACCCTACAAACCAAAGAGAACGGAGATGGTTAATCAAGTCATGTACTATTTAATTGTTTGTTTTTTATCACACCAAATTTCTAAGATATTGCTAAAAGCGGCGTAAAATCATATTCACTCACTTTATTACACCAACAAGACGTTAACAGGTGGTATTTGTTTCCCTTCCTGAAGGACTGGTCGGCTCGGAGTCCATGTCTGAGAGGGGTATATCCATGTTAAACTGCGACATGGTATCTCAGTGGGTTAGCCTACAAACCCCGCATAAGTCGGGACTAGTACAAGCAGCCACTCATTGCACGTCTGTTGTGCACGTCGCTAAATAACTACTTGTATCAAGAATCAAGAATCAAGAATCAAGAATTTTTATTGTACGGAACACCCTCGTAGGGCAGGGTACAAACTAACTACATATGGAATAAATAAAGCTTGTATGTACGAAGCAATTTTCTAGCTATATGACGGCGGCCTGAAAAATATCGAGTCTGTACCAGATAAACCAACCAATGACTGACATTATAAACAGCGAACCACGCCGTCGAGTTACGTTGCTGGGGACCAATTCTAACCCGGCGAATCCATGAGCAAGACCCCCCCCCCCCCCCCCACACACACACACACACAAACAACCACCCCCACCCACATCCCAGCAGAAGATCACTTGGTTGACGGCGGGTCATTGGCGTGGGTGGTCGGGTCAAGATTCGATTATTTATTTGCCACAGTCATATGACTGGAATATTTCACAAAACAAACTAATAGGCCAAGAGTCATGCATTTAGCTGGAATATTAATTGTGGCGTTATATTGAAAAAAAACCCACCGAAATCACATCATACATTGCCAAATATTTGTCAAGAAGCAATATATTTTTCGTTTTATTTGGTTTCTATGATGAGTGTTTTACTGTCATGTTTAATGAACACAAATATTCCCATCAGCTTCAGCGTTATCAATTCGCTCAAAGTGATCTTCTTGGCATATGCTCTCTTTTACCACGTGGGCACAATATGGGGAACATCGTGATGGCAGCAGGTTGTCCTGTTACATATATACCGCCTGTCCCTCTGCAGTCAACGCCATGTGTACACAACAGTTACTGTAGGCCATTGGCTTTACTGGGTTTACATACATACCGTAAATTCCACACACAGCCCCCCCCCCCCCCCCCCCAAAAAAAAAAAAAAAAGCGCAGGGGATTTAACTTTAATTTTCAGAGGTGCGTTTGCAGCATTTTTGGCCATGCGCTTATTCAAGGCAAGTATTAAGGTCACCTTGACATCATCTATAACGCTCTATCTCGTTTGTCTGTTCACCCACAAGGAATTTGGCAGGGGATAACAGTTCGTGTTTCCCTGAATCGTTACCGGAGAAGACATCGAAAATTATAACGGCTACATTTACGAAACTTGGTGCATACATTCACATAAACTTTGCTATGGTTTCCTAAAAAATACATTTATGGGCTTTGTCCCTGAGTTGGGGTACGAAGGTTCAGGGATGATGAAACTTAGTGCACTTCGTGCTGAAAGTCGTTTCCGGAGCAGAATTTAAAAAAAATACATGTACGAAACATGTATTTTGGGGGTGCAGGCTAAAACGGCACCTCAGCAAAACGGCACCGATTACTCTGGCGAAAACGGCACTGCAATTGGCGAAAACGGCTACTATGTGACGGGCGAAAACGTCACCTCTATTGCTAATAACGATATGAACGATTTATGTGGTAGTATATCTGATTTATGTTATTTGTTACATATTATTTGATGTATTTACATATTATTAACTGTTTTCCAGTTGTTCACAGATAACTACATACATTCACATATATACAGTTCTTCACAGGTTTCATCTTCATCACAGTGTACAATATCGGCCCATGTAACGCCGAGCATTGTGATAGTAGCTGACTCAGGGGGCTAATTTCAAATGTAAACTTGTTTTAACTTTTCCCAATTATTAGTGTTTATAAGAGACGATGTGAGTTTAATTTCATTTATTTAACTTCAAGGCATGTTATGTTTTCACAATAAGTTGAGTTGCGTATAGCCTAAGTTGGAATATAGTTGGAGTAGAGGCTCATTTCAAATGTAAACTTGTTTTAACATTTCACAATTATTGGTGTTTGCAAGCGACCATGTAAGTTTAATTTCATTTATTTTACCAAGGTAAAAACAAATAGGGTGCCGTTTTAGCCAGGCAATAGTAGCCGTTTTCGCTTGAGGCGAGGTGCCGTTTTCGCCAATCGGTGCCGTTTTCGCCAGCTGACGTTTTTCTGAGGTGCCGTTTTAGCTATAACCCGGTCAATTTGATGACGTCGTAAATCGGACGCCGTTTTTTACCATAAATTCCCGAAGACGTGGAATGCAGGTTAGATCGTGATGGCAGATTGTTCGAATTCAGATTTGTTTATGTTTCGACTAAAGTCCAAGTGAGATTCTCATTGTGAAAAATGCATGTATTAGCAAGATACATCCTCTGAAGATCTCGCGTTATAGCCTGCAACCTCGGCGTATCGCGGTACTTGTCATGTATGCTAAACGGAACAAAATGCACTCATTACCCTTTATATTATGATTATTCGTGTTCTCTATATCAGATATCGTTTATTTTATCAGACAATACATATTTTACTGATAAAAGTTCATTATTTTCATTAGTAGCTCCGAGTAAAAGCCGGGCCTCGCGGTCTGTTTGACAAGGGAGAGAACTCCATCGTATCGCGGTACAGATAAAAGTTGTGTATGGAGGTCCGAATTGGACAAAAAGAGGACATAATTCTACCAACCACTTGGTATGATCATGCCAGACATCAGTGATTTGTCCAGACAAGTGCAAAGACAGCACAAGTAAAATTCTAAATGTGTTATCAGTAATAGGTATTCAATGCATATTTTTCGAAAAGTAAGAGAAAAATATTTTTATAAGTCAACAACAAATTATCAGAAATGATATTCTAAGATTGTTTATAAAAAAATTGGATGACAATAATTTGTCACAAAATGTTAAAATGTTAAAAGTCAACAATAAATATATAAAAAGCACTCCTAGTATGCCCAAAGTATGTATTTATCTTTTGGTTACTAGTGAAGAACGTATTTCTAAGTTTGGCATTATGGCCCTTATGATCTCCCTATAGTTTCTGGGCACAGAGCGGGCTACGTAACTTCCGTTACCTCATTAGTCGCCATGAATATGCAGATGATCTAGTTCAGGTCGATAGAGAAAGTTTACTTGGGGAACTGCGGGTTCGTTGGCCATTGATAGATGGGGGTAAGGCAATATTACAACAGATGCCAGAAATATGTATCAACGGATTAATAACTCCTTACTTACAGCAGACGGAACATTCCGAGGAAATTGAAATTGTTTACGAAGTCAGCAGTTCCTGGTTACTGATTTGCATTAATAGACAGCCGCTAAGAGGCGTGTCCCGCGTGAACTACCGGAAATCACAAATGCCGCGATATACGATGAATGCCGCGGTACCATGGGGTCCGAGTATACCTATTTTTGAGAAATTGACAGGAAGTTGATACGTGTAACATCGTGAACAGCATATTTTTACATGATGCATCTGTTTAGGTTATGAAACTTGATAAATGAATCAATATTACCGATTTGATACTGAACCCAGACTGAAGGGGTGACTGTATTAAAATACAAGGAAGTTGCAAGCTAAAAACAAATAACCTTTAGTACGGGCTTCGTTTCCGGATGGAATCATATTTGCATCCAACCACACGACCAAGAGCATGGGCCCTGACTCAAGGTAGGTTTCAGACAGCGGATTTTGTATGGTGCATGCCTACTGTATGGTTGTCAGTATTGGTGCTAAGTATACACTAAATTGTCTGCATGATAATAAATGCTCCAAACCATTTCCATTATCGTAATAATACATAAAGGTGACAAAACCATTTCCATAATCATATGAAATATCTTCTAAAAGCAGGGTCCATTGTACGATTCCAGCTATATCATAAGCATGGGTTTATAATCACTATCAATTAGTGATGATACCAGGTGTTCGCGAAAAGGCGAGCGTATCATGCCCCACCGGTGACACCCGTCCCCAATACACGCAAAGGCAAGTCAAGTATTCACATGACCTAACTATGGTTAGTAAATATATAGAGGATTCATCACGAGTGTTTTTTAATATTGGAAATATCAACCGAGTCTTAGTTAATCGGTATTCGCCGAGCCTTTGGCGAGTCTTAGTTAATCGGTATGTACCGAGCCTTTCACATTTTTGCTTCCAAATTAAGGAATAATTGCATTAAACATTAACATCAGCAACTTGTCGAAATCTTACGTGCGTATTCTCACTCGTGCGTAGTGATACATGTTTTCCATAGCCATGTAAACCAAAATAAACAATTCGCTGAGAAAAAAAGTTCCTCGGATTATTTTAAACAAAATACTTGAACAGACTTTGGCAGAATAATTGAAACTTTAATAACGGTAACAACAACGATTCTGTGTAATCTGATTATATTTCTGGTGTAACTTCACTTATAATATATAGTTTCAAATCAAACCGCTCTCTCTTCCGGTTAGCTAATTTGCATATATAATTTGCATACTTATGTCATTGGGGTATGACATGCATGTTTTTATGTCATAAGCTTATGTCATGGATAAATGCTTTAGTTAAATGATAAAGAGTCTTAGCCGAGTGTGTTTTGTAAATAGCCTGCAACCTCGGGGTATCGCGGTACTTGTCATGTACGCTAAACGGAACAAAATGCACTCATTACCCTTTATATTATGATTATTCGTGTTCTCTATATCAGATATCGTTTATTTTATCTAACAATGCATATTTTACTGATGAAAGTTCATTATTTACATTAGTAGCTCCGAGTAAAAGCCGGGCCTCGCGCTCTGTTTGACAAGGGAGAGAACTCCATCGTATCGCGGTACAGAGAAAAGTTGTGTATGGAGGTCCGAATTGGACAAAAAGAGGACATAATTCTACCAACCACTTGGTATGATCATGCCAGACATCAGTGATTTGTCCAGACAAGTGCAAAGACAGCACAAGTAAAATTCTAAATGTGTTATCAGTAATAGGTATTCAATGCATATTTTTCGAAAAGTAAGAGAAAAATATTTTTATAAGTCAACAACAAATTATCAGAAATGATATTTTAAGATTGTTAGATGTAAGTGCGCCGACATGTGCCTAAGATCATAAAATGGACAATCTTTGGTAACATCTAATTTATTGTTGTCTCACGCCAGAGCTGTGAATAATTCTGTTCATTGAACAATTGGAATTCAGGAAGTTATCAATAATTGTTTTACTTATCATAAGATAAGATAAGTTGTTTACAACATAATATTATGATGTCAGGACGTACTACAGTCAAAACCATATATTTTAAAATCAATTTAATGACAGACTATGATTTCCAAGTCCCGATTATCAAATCAATGAGGTATCAGTTTCACCACATGTGCACAGACCGCCTATACTTATATATATATTTTTCATAACTATTCTCCAGTTAAATTCCTATCCTCTTATCAAAAAATCTGTGAGAGTGATCATCATCAACGAAACTCATTCTCGTCAAAGAATACAGAACCAATGAAGAATCAGATGCATACATTTATTGCCATGCTTCATTCATCACGAAGTAGATTTACATACATTTGTGCATAGCACTTAAACTGTAATAATGATTTTTACCATTGTCATATTATATTATAAATATTAACCATAATATGGATTTCCGAATATATAAACGACTCCAACGTTGATATTTCAGACAAAAACAAAGTCAGCTGTCTTTTAACGTTCAGGGGAAAAGGGTTTGCTTTCACAATTGAACATTTGTTTTCACCAAAGGACAATCAAATCAAGCCAAAAACGCGAAAAATACACATATATGGTTAGCGACCGTCATTATACAGCGAGGGGGGAAATTCGTCTGCTCTAACTGCCTTCACAAAAACATTCCAGCCCTTAATTACCGAGGCAGCTGTGACGTAGTAGCATTACATTCGCTGCGTTTGCAGCATATAAGATGTGTAATCTGTGGAGTAACTAAAGTAATATTACGGCTGAAATCTTACTTGCATGGTTGTTTTAATAGAAAACTTACGTTTTAAAAACACAATTGTTCTTATATAATGTTTTTAGGTTTGGTTTATAAATACAAGAGAAGATTTTTTATACATATAAAACTGATCGAAAATACAGCTGAACAATAGAAAAATCAAAATAGGAGTTGTGAATAGTGACAAATTTTAATTACATCCCCGTGTCATAAATTATTGATTGATTCCGTCAAACAACTGTCAAACCATTTATTGCCATGTACGTACATGTACACAGGAAGTCGGCGCTGTCGGAGGCTCCAGGTAAATAAACATCGTGGTTTTATGACGGGAGATCAGAAGAACCGTGAACCAGCGGCATGCGACGTAATTACATCTAAAGGTGGTACACGGACGTATATACGTCTTTGGGTGGTAGAACCAGGGTATTGTCTCTTGGACTGGCTAATTGACCGTACATATAATTGGTAAATATATTCGTTTTGACACCCGTGTTTCATGCGCATCCCGGCTCATAAGCAGAATACAGACAAATGAGACCCCGTGATCAGCGGAGCGTGAACACCATGGATGCCGCCTTTCGGGCGTACCGAACAGTCAAGCTGCGATCTCGGAACTGAATCCAATTGCAAGCGGAGACAAGATTACTTCCCTTACCCAAACATGATCGTTGCTCAGAAATGTTCAAATCTATCTTCAGTAAATCATGAAATTAATGCGAGCATGACATTTATGCGAAAAATGCGATCGTCAGTCCCTCTGATTATTTTAATATGTTTCATTTCATCATGATAAAAAAAGTTAGTCACTTATAAGGTTACCACGTTGAAAATGGAAACGATCGTTAACAAAAACAACAAAATGTATTCTCTCATCACTCAGCCTAACAGTGATATAACTGCAAATTAAACAATCAAGTTCGCTAAAGTATTACACATGGTGGGTGGAGGACCAGGGGCACTTTGAGTTTGACAGGTGTCATCAACTGGTCAAGTAACATCACGGTTTGTATATTTACGTTGATTGGACAGTCTAGACTGGCGCCAACTAATCATCACTGGACAAAATATCCATTCCAAACAATCCAAAACTTGGAAATACCACCATTCCAAATGGAAATATGACCATTCCAAAATTTGTCAAGGTCATATTTCCAAGCTTGGATTTGTTTGGATACAACATGTCATAATCATTACTGTTAAACGTTGTACAACTTTTGACCTTATGTGAGATTAGTAATGACATGAAAGTAAATAATTAAGAGTATTTTGGCGCTATTTACCACGAAAAGACTGTGGCTACTCTTTATATTTAATTTCCTTTCTTCCTTGTCTATAATCATATGACATTGACTATGAACTTTGAACAATGAAACAAATATTTTGTTTTCCCATAACGACTAACGATTGTCGTAGAACAAAGACCGTTTCGAGAATATAGAGGGAGTCATTATTATAATTTGAACTAATATACATATGTACATAATAGTACTAGGTATAAATGAACTTTGATAAGTGTTCGTACAAGAATATGAATTTCGAATTATCTCGGAATTATGCGCAACACATAGGGCTGGAAAATTTACAATTGGTCTGGAACTATCTGACGGTAATTCAAAACAGGGAACAAGATTTCGTCAAATGAATCATTGAACCAGGAATGCAACGATTTAAATGCTGACAAAATGAATAAACATATCTGGAACAGAGTAGACTGTTCATGCGGACAATTATATGCTACGTCTATTGCCAATGAAGTTTATCACCCCATGTTATAGCATTTGTTTCATATAAAAGATAGAAGCCAAATAAATTAGTTGTTATGAATTAGCTTTACCTCTGTGATATATCACGCAACTGAATATCAAATAACCAATTACAGTAATTAACCTATACATGGGCCATGTATGCAGTGAGTTCTTTATACAGAGAAAAGTGAAATTCAACAGTTGGCAATAGTTGATCATTTCAAAGCGTAAACAACCACCATAAGAGCTTTATTGTGATTTGCACAGTATTTGTTATGGTTGAATAGTACAACTTTCGGTGAAAATATCATCCCTGAAGCCTAACATGACCCAAAAATGATTGATGTACACAAACAGTTAATGTACATATGAGGGAAATTCATTTCTCTTTAATTTTGTACTTGACCACTGAATAGGCAATTATTATACAGTCATTCATATCAGCAACGAATGACTTTTACCAATGTTGAACGCAGAGGGTAATGTGTTTTTATTGCGTATTCCAATGGGACTATGATCAACATTCAAGGCCATTGTCCCTCGACAAATCATCAGTAGCTTGTAGCGCACACAATAACTTAGTCTTCACCTGTATGTACCTTGTTTGTGAGTGTGATTGAAATGTGTTGTGGGTGGTTCACCACTTAAAGTGAGATCAAGGCGATGTTAATAACGTATGCTATCCCATGTTCTACGTTTGAAATATCAACAAAAATAACAGAGATTATCCGTACTATTGAGACCCGTGAAGATCAGATGTGAAGATTAAGGTGTCTTGCAACATCGCGTTGACTTGATCCTGCTTCAAGAATTCCAATTGATCGAAGACGCTCATTTTCGGACAGGCGTGGCATTTCGCAATGTTGAATAATTGCGTAATTTTGTTGTTTTTCTGAGTGGTTGTCAGCACGATGCTAAACAATGCATATGGAATCCCGTTCACGCACATGTTT